CAGCCTCTCCCCGTTGGTAGGTTTTTCCTATAGCATCCTGGGAAGAATCATCTTAAAGAAGAGATCCTGTTCACTATGATTTGGAAAGGAGATATTCACCTTACCCATGAATATGCCATCGCCATCTACCTCATAAATAGTCACAAAAACTTCAAATCCACAACACAGGACTCACTGTGATGTCGTCCTCCTTTGGGACATTCCCGTTTCAATCTCTTTGGGATGCTTGCTTTGCTACGTAAACTACTTCCATGCCGTCTCTTGACTGAATTCTTTGCTTTGAGATAACAAGAGCCAAGGGAATCCTTGTAACAGATATCAGTTTAAATAAGCCAGAAGGCAAAGGCAGGAAGAGCTGCCAGGCAGCAAGGTAGAGTGTGAAGTTTAGGGAGAGGCTATCCCTCCATGGGACAGAGACTATGTCCAACTGCAACACCTGGCTTTGGGAGCCTGAGCTGCTGGCTATGCTACCTCAACAGCAGAAATAAGGTCCTAGCAAGCACTGCATGATGAAATTGGTGCTCACTTCCCAGGACACAGAAACCAACTTGTTTATTGTTCTCTATATAAGATGCAGAGCAAGTCATTTAGATTTCCATGACTGCCACCTGCTTCTGGTCCAGTGTCTGCTGAAGCCATTGGTAGCAGAGATGTTGGCGAACCCATGTGTCCATTCCACCATCTACTAGGCTATGAGTCCTGCTGGTAGAATAAACTTATCCTCTTTTGGATTAAGCTTCTGAGGCTTGGCTCCTTGCCATTTTTCCAAGTGATGCATATATATATATATATACATACATATATATATATATTCTGACCTAGTTAAGAAACAAATTACTGAACAGAATACCCTATAGTCTTAAATATATTCATATTCCTTAACTACACAGTGTTTTATTCATCAACCAATAAGAGAGACATATATACAGAAGGACATCCCCATCAGTTATTCCTTTGAAAACATGTAGTAAAGAAATAATACTAGTGACTGGGTAGGTAGCTCAGCTGTTAAGAGTGAGAGAGCAGAGGATGGAGTTCAGATCTCATTCTCAGATGAGAGGTTTCTCAGTCACGTATATAACTCCAACTCTGGGGGATCCAACTCCTTCTTCTGGCCTCCACAGGCACCTGCTCATATCCATGTATAGACATACACAAACATATAATTAATAAAAACAAACCTTTTAAAAAGAAATAAGACTAAACAGAGACAGAGTTTTGTTTGGGAGATTCGTGTTGCTGTATTGTGTTGGTAGGCACCAGGATTCATACAATAGCTTCATTAGGTTTGGCAGAAAACTAGGTTCATGGATCACTGCCAAATCAGGGCACTCTTGGGATGCCCCAGACATAGGAAAACTCCAAATAAAACAGAGCTCTCTTGAGGCATAAGACAGTAAACACCATGTAGCTTGTGATAGTATATATCACACACACACACACACACACACACACACACACACACACACACACACTCTACTTGTGGGAGACACCGTTCCATGGGCAGAGGTCCATCAGCATTCATCTCTCTCTGCTTCCCACCTTCATACACAACGTGACCGGATTGCCTCAAGCATCCACTGCCATGACACTTGTATATGTGTAAGACATTAAGTGCCCTAGACCTTGAGAGGTCAATGTCCTAGAAAACACCAGGGGGTGTATATAGAAAGCACTTAGCACAGTAGTGCATGGAAATGGCCTAACCTATGTTCCCTGTTACTAGCAGCAGTTTAGCAGAGTATTCTAATGTAGTGAACAAAAGTACTGAACTGGTTATCAGAAAACCCGAGATTCAGTCCTGGAATTGTCCTACTTAGCTGTAATTAATTTGTTGACTAACCCTAATTGTGAAATCACTTTACTCCTATGTGTCCCTATATGAAGAACAAATGTTCTAACTTTCTTCCAGGTTTCAAAACTCTGTGACTTCATGATGAGTTTGGTTTGGAGATTCATGGAGTAGGCAAAATATTACATTGCTGACAAAAAATAAAAAGTTCAAACAGATTACTTAAAATGCTTAGATATCATGGGGTAAATGCAACAGATTACCAGAATCTGTTATGCTGTCATTGTCCTACTAGAGCCACATAGCCTTGCTGTGGGATAGCAAGTAATGAAACATTTTAGTAAAATGTAATTACTTTTTTAAAAGATTTATTTATTTATTATGAATACAACAGCCTGCTTCCATGTCTGTCTGCAAGCCAGAAGAGGACACCAGATCTCATTATAGATAGTTGTGAGCCACCATGTGGTTGCTGGGAATTGAACTCAGGACCTCTGGAAGAGCAGCCAGTGCTCTTAACCTCTGAGCCATCTCTCCAGCCCCAAATGTAATTAATTTTTAAAGATGTATTTTTGCCAGGTGGTGGTGGCACACAGCTGGAGGATCTCTGTGAGTTCGAGGCCAGCCTGATCTACAGAGTGAGTTCTGAGACAGCCAGGACTACACAGAGAAACCCTGTCTTGGGAAATGAAAGCAAAGTAACAGATACACATTCCTGATACTAGGTTTGAATTGTGTCCCCTGAAGAATCTGATATTATTTGGTTAAGTTTGTGGGATAATCTTTTTGTTTGTTTTTTTCATTATGAAGACATGTCTCTGCCAAGAAACCTTCTGATTGGTTTAATAAAGAGCACAGGGATCGGGTGTCTAAGGTCTTCCTCAGCTATAAGGAGTTCCAGACAACTTGTCTCAAAAACAAGGGGGTGGGGAGCTGTTTGGATGTTATTGGAACTCAGAGTTTCTTAAATAGGGACCATTTCTAAATTGCTACTCCCCGAGAATATGTCCTTCTGCTTGTACATGTAGTACTTACATTTTTAGTTTTTAAAGGTATTATAGAACATTAACCTATATATAAGCAATGAATAATACAATAACTTTTCATTTGCCTATGTGTACCTTAAAATGAAACACAGTTCACTCTTACATTCCCTGGAGATCTCCCACTCTCGTCTTTCTTGTCCTTAGAATGACGGGAGCAGGCAAAAGCACCTTGTCCTAAGTGCTGCCATTTTAACTCCAGACTCCATTTTATCTGTAGGGTTGAAACAAAGTTAAGGTTCCCTAGCCCTACTGCAGCTGGGAACTTTCCAATGGTTGACCAACCTCCTCCTTCAACAACAGAAATACTCTATTATGCCCCTTAGTTCTCTAGAACACTATGGCCGTTGCTAACAACAGAAAACTAATTATTCTGATTGGTTGGACTAAAAAGCTTCCATTCTATGCTGGTTGACAATGATGGAACACTTAAGGAAAGCACTCCCCCCACCTTCCCTGAATCTTGATGGGTAAAAAAGGTAACTGTTACTTGGCACAGATGTGTTTATGGTTTTGCACTTACAAAACCCGATTCTGCCCCTGCTTGGGGCTGTCAGGAAAAGCAAGTCTCCCTCCCAGTGTCCTTGTCCTGTAGCCCGGCTCCATCAGCAACCCCATTTATGTGGTGGTTTATTAAAGACTTTGGAACCTGTAAGTATTGTCTCTCTCCTGGTGGTGCACAATGGACATGAGTGTAACAAGGTAACTCTCTTTGTAGCCCAGGATGGCCTCTCACAGACTTCTGCCTGACTTTTCATCTTGAGTGCTGGGATTAAAGGTGTGCGCACCACCATCACTCTTTGAAATCCTGTTGTTGAGTTTGAATTCTTGCTTATTCCTAGGAGCTTCCAGATCCCATGACTGGATCGTGTTTGGCTATAAATAATATACTGTATTGTTTTACATATTATAATATTTTGAAAAATGGTATTGTATTATATGTGATTTTCTAACAATTACACTAATGTTGTGGAAATGTTATTTTAAAATGTGTTACATTTGTTTTTGCTGTGGAACGTTTAATTATGCAAAGACGTGTTGCATTCTTTTATGTTGCATTTAACTCTGTGAAGCTGTGTACTTTGCCTGTCTAAAACACCTGGTTGGTCGAATAAAAAGCTGCATAGCTAGTAGCAAGGCAGAAGAAAGGATAGGTGAGGCTGGCAGACAGAGGAATAAAAAGGGACAGAAATCTGGGAAGATTGAGGAGCGAGAAAAGAAGGGGCCAGCCACACAGCCAGACAAGGAATAAGAAGGAAAGAAGAGATATACAGAAATAGAGAAAGGTAAAAGTCCAGAGGCAAAAGGTAGATGGGATAATTTAAGTTAAGGAAAGCTAGCTAGAAATAAGCCAAGCTAAGGGTGGGCTTATTCATAAGTAAGAAGAAGCCTCCATGTGTGTTTTATTTGGGAGCTGGATGGTGGGCTCCTTCCCCCAAAAGAGCACAGAACAAAGAGTCAAAAGGGTAAAACAACCACTAACACACTGATACTACTTTTTTCTTTCTTTTTTTTGGTTTTTCAATTCGAGACAGGGTTTCTCCGTGGCTTTGGAGGCTGTCCTGGAACTTGCTCTTGTAGACCAGGCTGGTCTCGAACTCACAGAGATCTGCCTGCCTCTGTCTCCCAATTGCTGGGATTAAAGGCGTGGGCCACCACAGGCTGATATTACTTCTTTCAGATGGAAAGGGTAGTCACGTATCTGTCTTTCCCAAGTTCTTGGGGCAATATATAGTGCAAACAATAGTTAAACTTAGTAGCTTAAAAAAAAAAAAACTAAACGCGAATTGTTTTCAATTATCCTGGCCAGTTCAAGTGAGAGAATAAACCGGGTTATTAACACAATTAAAAAAAAAAAAAGTCTAACTCTGAGTTGGAACTCATTATTCTAAAAAAGAGTAACTTACACCAGGCTGCAATTTTCTACGAAGCTGCTGCCTGAGAGATGGGTGGTTAGTCAACGTTTGCATATAAATAAATAAAATTAGGTTGCCGAGTAACACCCAAACTGCGGATCAAGAGCCTCGGAGATTTTTAAAGAGTTGCCGCCATGGTGCGCAGTGGCATCTTGGGAATTGTAGTTTCGCCATACCGGGTTCACTGGGATCCAATCAGCAGAGAGCCAGCAACCATACGCACTACGATTGGCTGGGAGCCGCGGCGGCCCGCTCCTTGCGGGTCACTCAGTCTTTTGCAAAGGCGGCCCACGGTCTTTGCGAAGCTTGTGGCCCGCTGGTTTGTTGGCAGAGCTGATCGGTGATCCTCCAGGGCGGCCATGGCAGAGCCACAACCCGCGCCCAGCGGCCTCACGGATGAGGCCGCCATCAGCTACTGCTCCGACCCGGACCCCAGCACCAAGGTAGGCGACAGGGCCTCCTTCTCTAGCTGCCGGAGCGGACCAGGGACTATGGCCCGGCAGGCCCGGGCCGAAACCTAACTCTATCCGGCCGCTGCTGCAGGGGAGCCGGCTTTAGGCGTAGTGGAGTGAGCTGGGAAGTTAGGCCCCAGTGAGGGGAGACAGTGCAGCGGGGGAGCCCCTTCTTTAGAAAGTTTTTTCAAAACATATGACCCCATGTGCCTTAATTTGTTTATTTTTGCACGGTGTCTAGAAGCCAGCCCAAATCTGGGGCAGATTCCATGTCTGTGGGTGTAGTTGTCCGTCGGTCAGACGCCATGGCCCTTTAGAGGGGCAGTTCCAGAACTCCATAGCTAAAGGGCTGTGTATAACTGGTCCCTCCCAACCCCACTCATTATTTTTGTTGGTTTGTTTGTTTTTCGAGACAGGGTTTCTCTATTTTGGAGGCTGTCCTGGAACTCGCTCTGTAGGCCAGGCTGGCCTCGAACTCACAGAGAACCGCCTGACTCTGCCTCCCGAGTGCTGGGGTTAAAGGTGTGCATCACCAACGCTCGGCCCCACTCATTTTCTTTAGTTGCCTTGCCTCCAGTTTTCACTCCTCCAAACTGCAGCCGCCTTTCTTGGCTTTTGCTGTTGCTCAGAACCACACTTCTGACGATCTGAAGGGGCTCCCAGAAACTCTTCTGGTCCTTTTAAGGGGCATAACCTGTGGCATGGGAAAGCTTTCACGTAACATGACTGTGCTTAACAGTCAGAGAAAACTCATTCAGGCGTGGTGCCTCACTGTCTCTACACGGCCAAATGTTAGGCATTGTGGCTGATGGAGGAATGTAGTTCTGTGTAGTCATCTGTGTCAATAAACACCTTTGCATATGTTCATTGGGGTGTATCGTTTGTAAATCCCTTGAAGATCGAATGTGCGCTTCGTGCAGGCTCCTAGGAGGGGCAGAGAGTTGGTGAAGGACTTTGGTCCCTGCTTGTTCTTTGCCCTAAGGGCATCTGAGAGTCAGACATACAGTAATTGTCATTGCCTCTGACTAGCACAAGGTGTGTACTTGATCTTAGTCATTAAAAAAAATTAAGGCAGGAAAGGAATATTGAATACACAAGTACCACACACACACACATAAACATCTTCCCACACTTTCCACTTACACACACCTTAGTATGCGTTTAATTTTGTAACTTTTGTGTGTGTGTGTGTATGCATGCATAGACAACTTTCTATCCAAGTATGTGTGGGTCCTGGGAACAAAATTCGGGTCTTTCCTCAGGCGTGGCAGCAAGCAACTTTAACGGCTGAGCCGTCTCATCGTTCTCCTAGTTATCTTATGTACTGTAAATTGGTTCATTACTTGTGAATTAGCTTCCTACATTACTCAAAAATTTACCTACTTTAGCAGTTTTCTTGCCTTTTATTCTTCTTTTCTTTGTTTAGATGGGGATCTAGCTATGTAGCTTTGCCTGGCCTGGAAATTGCTCTGTAGACCAGGCTGGCCTCAAACTCACAGAGATCCAGCTGCCTGTTTCCCAAGTGCTGGGATTAAAGGATTGCACCATCACAACCAGCTCTTGCTGGGCTGTTCCTTACAAAGCAAAATCAGATTCCAGGTACTGTTCTGTGTCGGCTAATTTGCTAAGTAACTGGGAGTTTTAGGTAGCAGGCTGTTTCAAACAATAAGATTCCCTTGGGATGTGGTGTGTAGAGAGCGTGTTTGGCTTTGAATTCAGTCCTTAACATCAAAAAAAGAATGAACAAATAAAAGTCCCAGGGAGATCTTTAAAAATACATGAAATGTATTTTTTTATCTTGATTACATTCCACATTCTCCAAATTTCTCTTGATTTGTAATTATCTTTTGAGATTAGGCATCTTTGGTCATGGACATAGCACGTCGAGATGTAAAATGAATTACGTAACATCTAGTATATGTTGAGTGTACTAGGTCCTGAATTGATGTTTTAAGTTAATTCATAACAACTCCACGAGGAAGGGAGGATTGTCTCCATCTTACAAATAAGGAGATTTAGACACAGGTAATGAGGGACTTGCCTAGGGAGGAGCCCACACTGCCAGCCTCCCCCCACTGTGCTTCTGAGATATCTCAAACTGTAATTGTAGAACTTGCCATGGACTGGGAGGGGGGACACCCTTCAATGAATGAAATTTAGCTTGATTGTATACTAACTGCAAAGAACATGAGAGGTGGGGATGCTGGCATAAGCAAGATGAGAGCTTCGCCAAGCATACTCTGATGGACTTGGGACAAATGGGCTCTTGGCATTATGAAGCATTCCGAGTGTATTAGTGAGTTATAGGCGGATTTTTCTGTCCCACCTGCTAGCTCCCAAATAACCACACGGAGACTTCTTATTAATTATGAAAGCTCAGTTGATAGCTTAGGCTTGATTCTAACTAGTTCTTATAACTTAAACTAATCCATACATTTTAATCTACGTCCTACCACATGGCTTTTACCTCTATCTGATTTCGTGTATCTGGCGGACTACTTGCAACCCCACCCTTCTTCTCAGTGTTCTCTCTGCCCCCCCAAACCCTGCCTGCCTATTGGCCGTTCAGCTTTTTGTTAAACGAATTTGAGTGACACATCTTCACAGTGTACAAAAAGATTACTCCACGGCAATTACTTTTCTCACTGTTGTGACACACCACCTGCCAAAAAAGCAAGGGAAGACTTATTGTGGCTCCCAGTTCGCAGGGGCATTCCATGATGGTGGGAAGACACAGGCCAAGGGAGGCTCTAGCTGATGGCAGTAGGGGTGTGAGGTAGCTGGTCACATTGTGTTTGCAGATGGGACATACCGTAAGATGATTCTGTGTGTGTAGCTGGCTGGCTTCCTGCTTTTTATACAGTCTGAAAGCCGAGTCCCGTGGGACGGTGCCACCCACGTTCAGGGTGTGTCTTCTAACTAGTGAAGCTGCTCTCAAACTGTAGGTGATTCTGAGTCCAGTTTCAGGTTGTCCTAGGAGATGAACTATCATAGTTTTCAAAGGTCGCCCCAGTGGTGGGTGAGTTGTAGGCACAGGGCTTTTGGAATCTGGAGCCCTGCATTGGCATCCTCTTGTCCTTGGTTACTCCCATCCTGGCAGGACTCCTGGGGCCCGTAAAAGAAATGTAGCAGCCCAGAGAGCTGGTATGGGGACAGAAAGGTAAGATGGCATGGGTTATGCCAGCTCAGGCTGGTGTTTCAGCGTCCAGGGTAGAGGAGAGCATTAAGCAGAAGGCGGTGGTAGAACCACACTTGGATGGATGGGATTCCCACACCCAAAGAGTTACACAGGGGAGATTCCAGGGGAAGGAAACATCTTAGCAAAATGTAGCAGAAGGGTGCAGAGCAGGCTAATGATGGTGGGAGTCGCATGAAGCAGCCTGGCAGATTGGAGAAGCCCGAATGTCATGTCTAAGAAGGTTAGGGTGTGTGCGCGTGTGCGCGTGCGCGCGCAAAACCTACATTTTATATGTAGTAGTTGGATTATATGTAGCATATATACTATATATATGTATATATATATACATACATACATGAATGTAGCTAGAGAATGGAGAGGAGGGAACACAAAACAGCCATTGGGGTACTCCAATTTTGAAAACTCTCGGAGTGTTTGTTTTTGTTTTTCTCATCCTACAAAGCTTTCTACTTGGTGAGTGTGTGAGTGTAATGAACCCAGAACTTTGCTAAGCATGTATGTGCTCTGACCCTGAGAGACATGTCCTTAGGCTAGAGTTATACTAATGTATTATACGTGCATGTAATGGAAATAACTCTGTATTTGTTGGGAGGATGCTTTTCCCAGTGATAAGCTTTTTACAGAAAATCATCGGAATAACCAGTGTAAGGGGGTAAAGGGACTGGTGATAAAGATAACACATAGCAAACAAATGTGGGCCTTGTGGACTTTCATCCCGTCACGTCCAGAGTCATCCAAGACAAAGGATTGGTTTTTTTTTTAACCCAGGATTTTGATTCTAGAATTATCACTCCACTTTTTTTTTTTTTGAGTAAACCTGCAAGAAGCAGAGAGTAGTCCGGGTGGAACTGGGCAGGACTTGAGCTACGGATAATTAGGAAGGCTAGTGGATAGTTAGGAAGGCTAGCCGGAGGGTTCCCAGGGGGTTAAGCAGGCAAGGAAGTGGTAGGCTTGGCTTAGAACCTGTTCAGTTTACTTCGAGTTGTCATGATTGAACTGGGGAGACCTAAAAAGAACCAAGGAAGACTTCGTGCATGTCTCACTTGGGCTAACGAGGAGTGGCTGGAGCATCCTCTCTTGTGTCTGGGTTTCGGTGCTTTTGATGTTCTGGCACAGTGGAAGTGACTAGGCCGAAGGTGGGAGTCCAGAGTTGAGGTTAGAGGGTTGGGCTGGGGAATGCAGATTTGGTAACAAAAACCAATAGTGTAATGGAACCTCCGGCTTTGTCTTACAACACCAGCAGCAAGACAAACAAAGGGGTTTGCCCCGGGCCAGGCATTCCGCTTTGTTCTTTACTACATTACTGAATTTATACTTCCGCTCAGCCATAGACTATCTTCATCCCAAAGGTGTGGAAACAGAGCTTGAGGAAAAGCAACGGCTCTCTCGCTGTCACAATTGTAGATCCGTGTTATCCCCAGCTCAAGACAAAGAATTCCTCTTATGTATGTGTGTCCCCCCCTTTGCATGACAAAAGGAATGCAGAAAGGACCAGTAATGTTGAATGCAGCTGGGGAGACCTGAGTTCAAGCCCGAAGACCCTTGTTTAAAAAGGCCAGGCACGGCGGTGAGCTCACGGCATTTGTGAGCTTAGCAGTAAGGAGGCAGGGGTAGGTGGGTTCCTGGAGCTCTCTGGCTGACCAGCTAGACCTGCTCTGGGATCCCCAGGCCAAATAAGGGACTCTGCCTCCCAGAACAAGGTAGACAGCTTCTGACAGCACTGCCCTCCACATGCATGGAGACACGTTGGCATGCGCACCTGCATACACAAGGACAGGCTACGGGTACACAAAGAAGTGTGTGACCTCACAGCTGTACAGAAGTGTGTGACCTCACAGCTGTACAGAAGTGTGTGACCTCACAGCTGTACAGCAGTGTGTGACCTCACAGCTGTACAGAAGTGTATGACCTCACAGCTGTACAGAAGTGTGTGACCTCACAGCTGTACAGAAGTGTGTGACAAGAGTCCCACTGGTTTAAAGTCAGGGTATAGGCAGAGCTTCATTCTTTACTGGCGGCTCCAGAGAAGCATCTGCTCCTGCCTCCCGCTGTTGCCTGATCTCATTACTTTCAGAGGTTGGACCCACACCCCAGTTCCCTTGCTGGATGTCAGTGGCCATAATGGTGTGGTGATCTATCTGTCACTCAGCCAGCCCCCACAGCTTACTCATTCTGACATCCTTTTTTTTTTTTTTTTTTTTTTTTTTTTTTTTGAGACAGGGTTTCTCTGTGTAGCTTTGGAGGCTGTCCTGGAACTAGCTCTTGTGGACCAGGGTGATCTCGAACTCACAGAGATTCGCCTGCCTCTGCCTCCTGGGTGCTGGGATCAAAGGCATGGGCCACCATCCTACCACCTGGCTTCTTTTCCTTTAGTTTTTATTTTGTTTGGTTTGCAGGGCCGGGCTTCTCTGTGTAGCTTTGGAGCCTGTCCTGGAACTAGTTCTGTAGATCAGGTTGGCTGTGAACTTCCAGAGAGTCTCCTGCTTCTGTCTGGGCCACCACCGCCCGGCTTCAGGACTTATTTTTAAGTAGGTGTTGGCATGTCTGTGTGTGGCTATGTGAGTATGAGTGTAAGTGCCTGTGGAGTCCAGAAGGGGTGTCAGATCCCTTGGAGCTGGAGTTACAGTTGTGAGCTACCCAGTCAGTATGGGGCACTGGGAACTGAACCCAGGTCCTATGCAAGAGCAGTTTGTGCTGGTAACTACTGAGCTGTCTCTCCAACCCTAATCTCTATATTATAAGGCCATCTGGACAGTTAAATCCATCTTCAGAGTCCCTCACAGTGGAACCTAAGTTAATGTATGATGAAATAACCTGGGCCATGTTCAGAGCTGCTCCTTTGTCTGCTCTTCCCTCCCCCCAGGGGCTGTACCAAGCCTAGCGTGGGAGGCTGGCTTTTTCTGATGAGGCCTGCCAAGGACAGCCTTTGAAATTACATCTGTGTGACCCGAAAGAGCACACATCAGCATCTCGGAGGACTTGGCTTCTCCACACAAGCCCACTAATTGATAGGGAAGCAGCAGGTGCTCGTGCACTTTCACTAGGAGAAGGGAGATGCTTGCCGTAGTTTTACTCTCTGCTCATAGCATGTGACATGAAAGTGGTCTTGGTGCTTTGTAAAACATCTGTTTTGTCTCGTTTCACCATAAACCCCAGAGTGACTTTGTAGGTGTTTTTATGGCCACAGTCAGAGGACAGATCTGGGCTGACCGCCTGGCCAGCGAGCCGCTCATCTCTTTCTTGGGGAGGGCAGCTCTGATTGTGAAAAGACACGGCTGGTCCAGAAAAATGGAGCCTCGAGCCAGCCGCCTCTTACCTGGAAGCTTTGTGGCCTAGTGAGAGAAACAGACCAGGAGAGCCGCACTGAGTCTCCAAGTGCTGTCCCCAGGAGAAGGGACTGCGGCACCTCCAAAAAGGAGTTTGGGGTTTTATAAGGTACTCTTAGTTGGGCAGGAGAAGAGCATTAAGGAAAAAGGAATTCTCATAGGCAAAAGGATTGCAGTAAGCAAAGTGTTATTGGGGGAGGGGCCCCTCTGGCCCTTGGAATAGCAGGAGGCTGTGGGCAAGCTCCCAGTAAGGGGTGAGCAGACCTGTGAGAAGCGTACAGCACTCAGTTTCCATCTCCCTTAAGGGGCTGGGTCCCACCTGGGTTGTCCATCTTGGTATCTTAGGTGACTCCATCTTAGGTCAAAGATCTGGGCCAGCCCAGAAGTTGCTACCTCTGAACAATGAATTTAAGTGCTCTTTAAGGTCATTTCTTCATGGTAGACAATAGTGTATTTGTATTTTTTTATAACGTAAGTTGGGGAAGGAGTCTCTTTGGCCTAAGCATTACTTGTGGGCAGAGTTTTTCCTGTCCCACAGCCACTCTCAAATAGCCACTCAGAGGCTTAATATAAATTACAAATGCTCACCCAATAGCTCAGGCGTAACCCATATTGCTATTTACCCCCACAACATGGAAGGCACCTTTATTAGCATGACACGTTCATCTGCTCCCTCTGTGTCTGGCTGGTGACTCCAGACTCTGCCCTTCTTCCTTCCAGCATTCTCCTAGTTTGGCTCTCCTGCCTAACCCTATTCTGTGCAGCTGTTGGTCTTATTTTGGTTTGGTTTGGTTGTTTTCCAGAGCTGAGGACTGAACCCAGGGCTTTTTAAGTGACCTACCACAGAGCTAAATCCTAAATAGGTTAATCAAAGTGGCAACACCCACCATAAATATAGGTGAACTGTTCTATGGCCTTGGGTCCTGGATTGCACAAGAAAGAAAACTAGCTAAGCACAAACAGTCCTCACTTTCTGATTTCTGTCTATGGCTGTGTTGTGACCAGCTGCTACCTCTAGCTCCTACCACCCCACCTCAATGGAGTATGACGAACTGCAAGCCAAAACAAGCCCTTCCCCCAAGCAGATTTCATCAGGGTATGCTATCATGGCAGTGAGAAAAGGAATCCTTGTCACTGTGATTGCTTGAATAAAGAAGCTGGTTAGGCCGGGCGTTGGTGGCGCACGCCTTTAATCCCAGCACTCGGGAGACAGAGGCAGGTGGATCTCTGTGAGTTCGAGGCCAGCCTGGTCTACAAGAGCTAGTTCCAGGACAGCCTCCAAAGCCACAGAGAAACCCTGTCTCGAAAAACCAAAAAAAAAAAAAAAAAGAAGCTGGTTAGGGCCGGGCAGTGGTGGCTCACGCCTTTAATCCCAGCACTCGGGAGGCAGAAGCAGGCAGATCTCTGAGTTCGAGGCCAGGCTGGACCGACAGCCTCCAAAGCTACAGAGAAACCCTGTCTCAAAACACCAAAAAAAAAAAAAGCTGCAAAAGGGTGATCACAGTTTTCAGGCCTGCTGTGTTAAGTCCATGTGTACAGTAGAATACCACTGATTAGGGTAAAAGGTGTCTGTGGTAAAAAAAAAACCTGAATTTACAAGTTAATTAATGTAGTTACTCAGTGTTGTCTTCTCATTATAAAATGAAGATAATCCTTGTACATACAAATACTTCATACTATTATTTTATCAGGATGCACAGGACTGGGCTTTGATTCTCAGAACTGGGCAAAGCAGTGTATGTACACCTGTAATCCCAGCATTTGGGAGGTAAAGTCAGATGTATTAGTAGTTCAAGGTCATCCTTGGCTATCTAGTGAATTCAAGGCCAGCCTGGGCCACAGGCAACCCTAACTCAAAAAACAAGATGGTTGCTATGCCTAAAGAAACCAACTCCTAACCAAAGTGTTGTAGTGATTTTAACCCTGTGAATTTATGCATTGTCTGCCGTTTTTTCAGTTAAGCCTTGTTTTCTGTGGAAATTGAAGGGTTTCACAAAGGTGTTAAGGCACTCTTTTGCTTCTTGGTTCCCTAGGAGTCTAAGACCTTTGTAAGGTCTTGCCAGTTAACACGGGTACCAGTAAATTGATAGACACAAGCGTCTCAGGTTGGCACAAAGGATCAAGATGAGAGTAGCTTCCCAAGGCAGTTTCTTCCTGTAAAACGAGTGTGCCAGAGCCCAGGGACTAACAAGCAGTGTCGAGGCAGGCTGTGGTAGCTCACACCTTTAATCCTGGCGCTTGAGAAGAGGAATCAGGCTATCTGTGAGATCAGATTTGCTTAGTGAGTTCCAAGCTAGTCAGGGCTTCATGAGACCTTGTCTCCAGGGGAAAAGAAATTAAATATATGCATATAAGTTGGATTCTTTGTTATGTCAAATAAAATTGTAGATTTGTTTGCACAAAATCAAGGTAGAGAAGGGATGCACTCGTTAGTAGTTTATTTGGAAGGTTGTCACCAGAAACCCCATGGAGTGTCGAGTGTCAGCAAAACCAAAATTGTTTTCTGCCACTGGGTCAGGGGGCATGTGAGAGTCAGCCATTTCATAATCATCTCACTAAAGCGGGCGCTGGTAGCTCCTGCCCATAACCTTAGGACTCCTGTGTAGAAGCTGAAAAGTCAGTCGAGGGCCAGTTGGTGACACAGCAAGTTTGAGGCCATCGTGTGCTCATGAGCTACTGCCTCAGCAGCCCCGAAACAACACAAAGGGCCCACCAAGCCTTGGTGACTAAGAAAGCCCGGGCTTTCAAATCACTGTTAGTTGAAGGGCATTCCTGGACCAGTAACTCACTGGCTCTCAGCTGCCCCACCCAGAAACCTGCAACTGGACCACACTGGGCAGAGAGCTTGGGAGTGGAACAGTCGGTGTGGGAAGTACTTGAGGAAGCTGCTGTTGACGCTGAAGTTGGGGTTCCCTGGCCTGTTTTCTGTTTGCATTGCAGTTCTGGGCTGTTCCATGTCAGTACAGAGAGCCTAGTGAAAGTCAAAGATACTTAATACACTGTTGTTTCTCCTTAGGACTTCATAATGCAGCAAACCATGCTGAGAATTAAGGATCCTAAGAAGTCCCTGGATTTTTATACTAGGGTCCTTGGACTGACGTAAGTATTCTTATTGCCTTAATGTTGAAAAACACTGTTCAGCGGTAGAACTGACCCCCCCCCAAAGTTGACCCCTAACCTCCATACCAGTGCCGTGGCAGGCACATGTTCCCGTCCTCTCAGAAAAAATCCTGGAACTCACTCTGTAGACCAGGCTGGTCTCAAATCACAGAGATCCGCTTGCCTCTGCCTCCTGAGTGCTGGGATTAAAGGCGCCACCAACACCCAGTTTTTGTTGTTGTTTTTTTTTTTTTTTAAGTAATAGTCTGATTGAGGAGCCTGCAAAGAGGCCTGACTAGTCAGCACTTTAGTTAAGTTTTGTTTGTGTCAGGACTGGTCAAGGCACAAGGCAACAAAAGGCTCCATCACATTCATTGTCTGCAGATTCCCTTCTGTCTGAGAGCTGACCGGCTAAATCATTTCATCGTTCAGGCCCTTTAAGTGCTCTGACTGCTTTTAGCCCCGCTTGCTTGGGAAATCATTAACGTCTGGACATATTATTTAGAAAATGAATGGATTTATTTAAAGTTAGCCCCTGATTCCATTTGTATAGGCTGCATTATCTCTTGCTAAAGGGGTGCTAGCCACAGGTTTTTAACTCTGAACATTTTGGAGTGCCGAGTTCTCTTTTCTATCAGCTTCACTGGGGTTTAACTGATGATTTGACTTTTCTTGGTTCATTTCCTCAAATACCATGAGGTTTTTGATGACATACATAATTAAGTGGAATTATCTTTAACTTACTGCCCTCCATTCACTTCCACAAATTTTAAGACAACAGCCTAAGTAACACATCTGTATTATGTATGCTTAGAAAACATGGCCAGTTCTGAAAAATACAAAATGAAGAGGAATAACTTCCTTCTCTGGGTCCTTGTCCCAAAACTGCTCTTACATTCCTGTGACCCTTTCCAGGAAGAGTGGCTTTCCATGTGTGCACAGCATATTTTAAGGACAGAGTGAAAGCAAATCCACCGGCGCGTGCTATTGGCCAGGCAGCACCCTGTTATTCCCTGTGCCTTGCAGCAGACCCTTCAGGTAGCTTGTGTCCTCCGTTTACAGGCGAGGAAATGACGTTTCGGGTCTCGGGCCCCGCAGTTGGCAGAGCTGAGTCCAGATGCAGTTGATGCCACTGTTGACCTTTGTTTTTAAAGAGCTCCCAGATGGTTCTCGACTTGACACTTACCTGATTCACTCCTGCAGAAAGCAAGTGGCTTCCTTTGCTTTAGTTCCCATCTGATTGGCCGTTAAGGCTGGGACAGTGATATTAGAGTGGAGACAGTTCTCACGATGGTTTTATTTGAGGTGTTTGATTTTTTTTCAAATTTATTTATTTATTGATGTGTATAGTTTTCTGTCATCAGGACAGCAGATCTCTTTATAGATGGTTGTGAGCCACCATGTGGTTGCTGGGAATTGAACTCAGGACCTCTGGAAGGACAGTCAATACTCTTAACCTGTGAGCCATCTCTCCAGCCCGAGGTGTTTGATTTTTTTTTTTGTGGAGTTTATTTATGGTTAGTCAATGCATAAATCTAATGGTCCATATTGATAACAGGGATAAGTAGATAAAAGATTGGAGCAGAACTTTGAAAGATTGGAGCAGAACTTTGGAAACTTTGCTTGGGGTGTAGGGGGATGACTCAGTTGGTGAAGTGTTTGCCATGACAGCATGGAGATTTCAGTCTCCCAAAACCCATGTAAAAGTGCTGGGCGAGGTGGTATGCACCTGTAGTCCTGTTGCCAGAGACAGTCTAAGACTCTGTCCTTACACTCAGGAGGCAGAGGCAGGTAGATCTCTGAGTTGAGGCCAGCTTAGCCTACTTAGCAATTCCAGTCCAGCGAAGGTCACTTACTGACACTGTCTCTGAGGTCAAGGGTGAAAGACAGTGGAGAACAGTTGAGGATACCCCATTTCAACCTCTTACCACTATCTGCATGCATGCGCACACTCCCTGTACATGTACACGTGCGCGCATGCACACACACACGCACAGTTGAGGATACCCCATTTCAACCTCTTACCACTATCTGCATGCATGCTCACACTCCCTGTACATGTACCTGTGCGGGCACATGTGTGTGCGCATGCACATACACACACAAACACACAGTTGAGGATACCCCGTGTCAGTCAACCTCTTACTACTGTCTATATGCATGTGCACGCTCCCTGTATATGTACACACACACACATGCACTTACACGCACTCGTGTGCACTTGCACACACATGCTCGCACACAGACATTTTGCTAGGCGTCAAGCGCTTGCTCAGATTACGAACAGGGTCATCTTTGAGTATAATTAATCCTCAGGAGTCTAAAAAGATGGTATTATGTGAATCGCTCTGCTTGCCTGTGATTTCCCGTTCTTTGAACGGACTTGATAAGCTGTAACTTACCTCTCTTTGGCCCTCGGGCTCCCTCACCCTTCTACCAAGCCTCTCCTTGTCCCATCCACTCTCTGCCTTCCGCCTGCAAACGCGCCCACGTCTTTGGAGAATCTCTTGCTCTCTGCTCCGTTTGTCCATTGTCACCCTGTCTGCCTCAGAGGCTCTGCTGGCTGCCCTCTTGCTTGATTCCCCTCCTTCCTCCCAGCCCTGCTTAGCTGCCCGGCCATGCTGAAGCTTTTCTCGAAGGACCTTTCTGTGTCCTGTGACCTTTCCGAATTCTTAATCCTGTTTCACCTTTCTGCAGCATTTGAGGCTTTAGCCCTCCTGTTGCTGACATTCACATATTCTGTGATATTAGGCTGCCCTTCTCTCTACTGCCTACCCTCCCTCATCTCCTTTCCTGGTGCTTTCTGAAGAACTCAGTAGATGTGTTTAACTGAAAGAACGATACGGGATGACTTTCTTCACTGAAACAAAGACCTGTATTTCACTAAATTTGAATAATTGAGAGGGATGGATGAATTGGCAATATCTAGTGAGTTCTGGCTATCCTTGGCTACACAGTTAAGATCATGTTTCACCAAACAATAAAGAGAAAGAATTGATGAATTACAGAACCTTGCCCCACACAGCTTGGTACTAGAACCCTGACTAGGGGTGTTGAAGGAGTGAAGAAAGGACAGGCACTAAAGAAACTGCTGTGTGGGCACAGAAAAGCTGGGCTCTGGTGGTCTGTGAGCGCCCTGATGGAGTGATTCCAGCTACGGCGGAACCTGGAACCTCAGTGTGGTTTACGTCAGTACAAGGGTGGACTAATCTCAGGAGGAGGTGTCTGGAGGCAGCGGTTTCAAGCAGTAAACATCCTGGAGGACAAGCTACAGCTGCTAGTTTTTTTTGGGTTTTGGTTTTGGTTTTTTTTGAGACAGGGTTTCTCTGTGGCTTTGGAGGCTGTCCTGGAACTCGCTCTGTAGACCAGGCTGGCCTGGAACTCACAGAGATCCGCCTGCCTCTGCCTCCTGAGTGCTGGGGTTAAAGGCATACGCCACCAATGCCCAGTTTACAGCTGCTACCTTTTACACATACTGTGAGCATTATCACTTGGCCTACAGGTAGGCTTTGCTATCCCTCTGAGCCTAGGGGTGTGTTGGGGGGGCTCTTCTCTTCCCTTGGGTCTAAACATTGGTCCTTGACATGGCCATGTTCATGTCAACAATGCACATTTACCCAAGACTTCATTCACTTGGTCGTAACTGAATGCTTCCTTGGCTCTCAGAACTCTTTGTGTGTGTGTGTGTGTGTGTGTGTGTGTGTGTGTGTGTGTGTGTGTGCGCGCGCGCGCGCGCGCGCGCACGCACTCAAGGGGATATACCATGTATAAAGTCCAGAGATCAACTTTGGGTTTTGTCTCTCAGGAACTGACCACTTTGGTTTTTGAGACAAGGCTCCTCATTGGTGCCTGCTATGCTTGCTGCCCAGCAAGCCCCAGGGGTATGCCTGTCTCTGCCTTCCCAGTGCGGCCGTTGCAAGCACACACCATCACTCCAGGCTTTTTAACGTGGGTGCTGGGGATCATACACAGGTCTGCATGTTTATTCCACAAGGACTTTATAGATGGAGCTATAAAAGACATCTTTTTCCTCACTAATTTTTGCACCTGGTCTTCTCACTAAATTAACTACAGTATATATAGACCTTATTCCTAGTAGAACGTAAATATTATGTTGAGTTTGCTATCAACCTTTGCTATTGTTAAGTGACTGTGGCTTTCAATTTCAGGCTACTCCAAAAGTTAGATTTTCCTTCGATGAAATTTTCCCTCTACTTTTTGGCTTACGAGGATAAGAATGACATCCCTAAAGATAAGAGTGAAAGAACAGCATGGACGTTTTCCAGAAAAGCTACACTTGAGTTGACACAGTGCGTATGAGCTTTGTCTTTCTATATTCCTGAGTTTCCGTAAGGTATTTTAAAGAACCGTTTTTGTTTGTTTGTTTGTTTGTTTTTGGGGTTTTTTTTTTTGTGCTTACCAGTCTAAGTCAATTTTTAATATTTCTTAAAGAGTGGATATTTGGGCCTTTGTGTTATTCTTATGGTTTCTTTAAGACAGAGAGAACATTTTTCTCTTAGAGACTATAAGACCCTGAAGTGGCAAGATATTTGTCAAACTGTATATTATTAATTTTATATCTTACAGAGTCAGATTTTTTTTTTGTTTTGTTTTCTTTTTCAATGTAGGGTTTCTCTGTGAAACAGTCCTGGCTGTCCTGGAACTCACTCTGTAGACCAGGCTGGCCTCAAACTCACAGAGATCTACCTGGCTCTGCCTCCTGAGTGCTGGAATTAAAGGCATGCATCACTACTGCCTGGCACAGATTCTTCTAAAATCTTCTGATTTTTTTTTGTTCTTTTATTATTTTTCTGTGTTTTTGATCCAGAAATGTTAGAGAATATATTCCTTTTAAAGAGCCAGCACATCATTTTGTAATAACTAACATTCAAATTTTACAGCATTTTTTATAACCCCAGCATTTAAAAGTACAGAATCAAATGATTCCCCATTTCTTGTCATTTCTTTACACTGTTTCTTTGTATTTTTTAGCAATTAAGAGCAGTTGTTGTGATATGCCTGTGTTAGTATGTATCCCTTGATTCAGACACACATGCTTAAGTGGCTGTCTCATCTCTAAGATGGAAGTGCTCAAAGTTTGTCCACGGAGCTGTTTTGATGCTTGTTGAAACATCTAGAATTTAGTGCAGAAAATTATAGTTGCTGTGGTTTTTATTCTTGCTCTTTTCTGGGTTTGACCATCTCCTTAATCTAGTTAGAATCTTCCCTGCCAGCTTGCCCTCTCTACAGGATAGAATTCCGTATTTGTAGTTAAGTAGCATAAATCCGGAATAAGCCCTCAAAGAGGTTCCCTTTCATAGGCTATTCTAAGAGCAGAACTGTAAGTTACTATCGTAGGCAAAGCTCTAACAGAACCAATAGTATGTAGACATATCCCAGTGGTGGTGGTGCACACCATTAATCCTAGCACTCAGGAGGCAGAGGCAGGAGGATCTCTGTGAGTTTGAGACCAGCCTGGTTTACAGAGTAAGTTCCAGGACAGGCTCCAAAGCTACACAGAGAAACCCTGTCTTGGGGGTGGGGGGGAAAGAAGAAGAATGTAGATATAAAAGGAGATTTATTAGATTGGCTTTCACAGTAGGGATTGGGCAGTCCTAACAATGGCTCTATGAACAAGTGAGAAGCGGAGAACCCAGTAGCTTCTCCGTCCACAAATCTGGATGTGTCGGTAGTCCTAAACTGGTTATAGGAGGCCTTGGGGCTCCCTAGAAGGCCTACAGCTGGAGCCTACTGTCTATCAGCTTTGAGTAGCAGCAACAGATGCAGGACAGCTGTAAGGTGGGTCTTCTCTCTGGGAATTCACATGAAGACACACCCTGAGGTGCATCTGCTGGGCTGGTTCTAAGTCCCTCAAGTTGACAGTTAAGGCCCGATATCACAGTTGTTTTCTTTCCTTCTGTAGCAACTGGGGCACTGAAGATGATGAGACCCAGAGTTACCACAACAGCAACTCAGACCCCCGGGGGTTCGGTATGTTTGCCCCATTGTGTGTTTGTGAATGTGTGTGATTCTACATGGTGTACATAGTTACAGGAAACCTAAGACACGAATGACCTAGTTTTCCACGATAATTAGTTTATTAGGGAAATGGCTATTTTTATTTCCTGCAAATCTTATTTAGCAGCTATCTAATTTCAGTATTAGGCCAAGCACTGTGTTTGATTTCTCATAATATACTGTAAAGTCACAGTATTATGTTTCCAGTAAACTTCGTTGTGGGGCCACTAAGCTGTCCCTCCATCTCCTTCTAGGAGAGTGTTCAATTAAAAACAGTGATAGCTATGGTGAATAGTGATCCCATTGCCTGGTGTGTCTTGTCGAGGGGCTGAAGAGACAGAAGGTTCAGTGGTTAAGAACACTTGAGTAGAGGACCTGGGCTTGGTTTCCAGCATCCACATTGTGGCTCACAACCACCCATAATTCCAGTTCCATGGGATCTGATGCCCTCTTCTGACCTCATTGGGTACTAGGCACACACAGTGCATATACATACATTCAGGCAAAATACTCATTACATATACAATAAATAAGTAAATTAAAAATATGTATCTTGTCAAGATGACAGAATAAAAGCTTCAGTTGGGTAAAGTAGTGAATGTCAACAATTAACCCATAAACATGAGTCAATGATAACCTTTTGGGTATAGATTATTGTAAACAGATTGAACTATGCATTAGTATTGGTTCATTTAAAATAACAACTCAGAACAACTATTTGACTGTAACTGCCTAGTCAGACAGCTGCTGCTCCTTTAATATGTAGATTTTAGACCTATTTATGTTTTCAAGGGCCTTGTGTTTTGAAGTGTCTTGGAAGCCATTTGTGGCATTTGGGTGAACTCTTGTGATAATTTCTTCCTATGCTTTGTTGTTTTCACCAAAGGTCACATTGGGATTGCTGTCCCTGATGTCTACAGTGCCTGTAAGCGATTTGAAGAGCTGGGAGTCAAGTTTGTGAAGAAACCTGATGATGGTGAGTCAGCCCTCTCTCCACCGTGTGCACAGTGTGATTGGTCAGTCCGCTCTGCAGGGTGCACAGCTGTAATTAGTCACCCCGTTCTCCACGGGTGCATAGCTGTGATTGGTTAATCCGGTCTCCACGGGGTGCATAGCTGTGATTGGTTAATCCGGTCTCCACGGGGTGCATAGCTGTGATTGGTTAATCCGGTCTCCAGGGTTGCATAGCTGTGATTGGTTAACCCACTCTCCACGGGGTGCATAGCTGTGATTGGTTAATATGTCTAAGTGGCCATTGGGGTCATGCTGATTGGATGCACGCAAGAGGAAGCTCTTTTCAGCAGTCTTGGTAGCAAAGGAACATGAAGAGAATACCTGGCTTTCGTGAGAGACAAGAAAGAGCATGCAGAGTGGCTTGGCTTCATCAGGGACTAGACACAGGCTCTGGAGCCGTGGAAACCTCGCCTCCCCTTCTCCAGCCCTGCCACTTTCTCTTGTTGGCTTTCAGCTTTCAGGACTTCAGGGAGTAGGTAGTTGCTCCTAAATGAAATCTTGGAAGTGTGTTTTGTTGTTAATATAACTTTTCCAGCTTACTTTGGTGAATAACTGATGTTTTTCATTCTTTTATGCAATTGTGTATGCTTATGCTTTGGGTATATGTCTTGAGATAGCATATACCTGAATTCTATTGGATTTATGTGTATCTTTTTTTTTTTTGGTTTTTTTTTTTTTGGTTTTTTTTTTTGGTTTTTTTCGAGACAGGGTTTCTCTGTATTGTTTTGGAGGCTGTCAGTCCAGCCCGGCCTCGAACTCACAGAGATCCGCCTGCCTCTGCCTCCCGAGTGCTCGGATTAAAGGCGTGCGCCACCACCGCCCAGCTATGTGTATCATTATTATTGTACTTAGATATATTCCTACCTCCTTAATTTTTTTTTTTTTCAAGACAGGGTTTCTCTGTGGCTTTGGAGGCTGTCCTGGAACTCACTCTGTAGACCAGGCTAGTCTTGAACTCACAGGAATCCTCCTGCCTCTGCCTCCCAAGTGCTGGAACTAAAGGTGTGCCCCAACACTGCCTGACTTTCACCTCCTTAATGTTTTAAAGTTTATTTTTAGTTTTGGAAATAGGTTCTTGCTATGTAGCCCAGGCTGCCCATGAACTTGTGATTTGCTTGTTTTGGCCTCCCAAGTAGTACATTATAGCATGCCACCACAGTTTGAGACACTTTGTGAGCTTACGCAGCAAGTAGTTTATCGGTAGAGCCCATGCCTGGGTCATGGGTTCAATTCCCAGCACCCAAAACCAAACAACAACAACAAAACCAAAACCAACCAACCACATAACAGAAACCCAGAGAAAAATAAATGAGACATTTCAATAAAATTGTTTCAAGTAAAACATGTACTGTGGGATCTCCTCAATAAGTGAACAACTTTTCCCTCTGCTCACATCAGCTGCTGTCACCTGACTTAACTGCCTTCTATATACAAGTGCCCTGAAAACTGTGCTGGGAGCCTTTGGTTTACCAGTTACTTTTCCCTCATATCTGTCTATCCTGATTTTTCTATCCTTTTTTTTTTTTCTTTTGTGTCTCTGTGTGGTGTGAGTGTGGAGTATATGCATGTGTGTGTCTGTGTGGTGTGTATGTGATTGTGGAGTATATGCATGTGTGTGTGGCATGTATGCGAGTATGTGGTGTATATGCATGTGTGTGTCTGTGTGGTGTGTATGTATGTGTGTGTGGTGTATATGCATATGTGTGTGTATGTGTGGTGTGTGTGTGGTGTGTATGCATGTGTGTGGTGAGTATGAGTGTGGTGTGTATGCATGTGTATGGTGTGTGTGTATGGTGTGTATGTGAATGTGGTGTGTGTATGCATGTGTATGGTGTGTATGTGAGTGTGGTGTGTATGCATGTGTGTAGTGGGCATCTTCCTCGAGTACTCTCCACTTTGTATAATAAGGCAAGGTCTCTCACCAAAGCCTGAGCTCCCGGGAGACCCAGCCCCACCTCCCTCAGCAGGCTTGCCCACCTGCTGCCTTCTCGGGAAGGTTCCTGCAGTCCAGACTCCTGTCTTCGTGCTTGCACAGCAAATGCCTTAGCCACTTCCTGTCAACCTTGCCCCATGGAGTCTTTGTTTCCATTTTCATTCCTTGCTCCCTAATGTTCACTCTGTCTTTGTTCACAAGGGCAATACTTCATAGTGCCCTTTTACAAGCGTTAATAGCCCTTTGTCCGTGGTTCTGATACGGCATGGTGAAGTCGAATCTATGACCCATATAATTATGTTCCTGGATTATGTTAGTTTGGCCTCTGCTATTTTCTCCAGCAACGATAAGCTGTTGTAATCCACCAGGCCACATGACTGGAGAAGAGGACTGTCCCTAAGGATCCGTGTGATCTCAGGAAGACGGGCTGGATGAGCCCTGAGCTGTTTCCTGCCTCCTGGAAATGACAGCTCTTCAGTCAGAGGCTTTTCCTTGTCTGGACAAAGCAGTGTTAGTAGGAGACACACCTGAGGCCGCATACTTGGCCCTGTGGGGGAGGGGGGGGGTTGGGAGGAGACAGAGTATGGAAGGCCAGCTGACTTAGTCTTCCTAGCTTCCACACTGGACAAGCTCTCTGTATCCCTTTCACTCCTGAGGACATCTGGGAATCAGTAGTTGAGCCCCTCCCAAGTGCAAGGGCAGGTGTTGCTTGCCTTGGGGGGGCAGAAGCAAACACCCTGTTTATTCTCCCACAGCCACACATTCAGAACTTGAGTTCTGACCCCAGACTTCCTTCTGTATGGATCAGGTTGAAACAGTCACCTCCATCCTCACCCATTCCTCCTCGGCCACCACCCTGGAGGTTGCTTAGCTGTGTTTTTCCCCCCTTATTTGTATTTCCTGACCTTGGGGTCAGGAGGCAGACACAAGAGTCAAATAAATTCGGCATCTTAGTCCCCAAATAAATCAATCTCTCAGACTACATTTATACATCTAAGTAAACAGCTCCATCCTGGTTACAATCCCCAGGAGTCCCAGTATGATTGACAGGTCTTGGGTTACCTACTGTATTGTTTAATAGAGTTTACGTGACCCAAGCCTCTGGTGTCTTGGTTGTGCGAAGAGGCCACATTCCCTGTTCCCTTGAGCATACCTCTATCTCCGTTTCCGTCTTAATAATTTCAGTGATGGGTGAGGCAGGCACCTGATACTTAACAGGGCTGTTTTCAGCTCCTTCTGGAAGGTCACATTCTAGGCATTAGGATAGCCATTATAACACAAACTTTTTAGAATGAAAGCTATCAACAATGTATCTCATTCAAATGCAAATTAAAATTGTAATGAAAATGTGTTTGATTTGTTAATGTTCCTTTCTAGTAATGAAAAGTTTTTATTATACAGGTAAAATGAAAGGTCTGGCATTCATTCAAGATCCTGACGGCTACTGGATTGAAATTTTGAATCCTAACAAAATAGCAGAGATTATTTAGCTCTGCGAGAATGCTCTTCGGGGTGTCGGTGATGGTGGGGACAAGAAACAGCGTGATACAAGATGCGAAGGCACCGGAGGCATCGAGAATGAGGGACCTCTGCTACGGCTCCAGGCACTCTGAAATCCTTTTCATTATCCTGTTTCTGGGGTTTTTTTTTTTTCTTCTTTTTTAAAAATCTCCCCTCATGTTTAATCAACCTAATTTTCAAGTACCAGTTTATCTTATGACCTTGACAAAGTTGTGTGACTTGACTTTTTAGATAATAATTAGGACGATTCCCTCCAGAGACCACATCTGCTATTATCACCTGTCTCTTAAATACTTCTCAAGTGTGCTTTTGATTCATCATTTAAAATTTTGTTTTAAATGTTTCTTTTTCTTTTGGGGGGCTGTTACCTTCTGGGGTTTCAATTCCTCAGAAATAACTTCATAATGGAAAGTAAAGAAGACAGAACAGAAATGAAACTTCATATGTACTTCAAACAGCATAGTGTTTATTTTACAAAAGAGAAGAGACCCTCGAGAGCAGTTCTGGATCATGCTGACAAGGATACGGATAGAAATACTAATTTTTTTTTGTATATATAAAGTACCTTCAAAGTTCAAGGACTAACTTTACTTTTCTGGGAATGTGGAGAAGGAGGGGGTTAGTATTACTGGATACTTCGACAATGGGCTAGGCTGCAGCTACCATAAGAAAGCAAGGGGACAGACATACAGACAGACCTGTCATCATTGTTAGCATCTGGATTATGCCTCATGGTACCTTCCGTGTTAGTCTTCTGCTGTAAAACCTGCAGTGAGTGTGCGGCCTTGTGCCTTTTGCTCTCGGGCTGGACCACCGTAGACGTGAAAGACGTCTATGACACAGGCTGTTCTAGGTGACACTGCATGAATGAGGCTCACATGCGTCTTCCCCACCCCGGGGTCTTCATGTGTTCACTTAGGATAAATTATTTCCAGTGACAACTCAGGTCTCAGGAGTTAGCTCAGTGGTCTACCCTGCCGACTGACTGATGATGGATATCTAAGAGGCAATTTGAAAACTTACGGTCTAGAGGATAAAACTCTGTTTGAGGTCAAGCTCCGCTGAAGTTTTCTGCGGGCTGTAGTGGGAGATGTCTGGATGGGTAATGTCAAGTGTTATACCGCTAGAAGCATTTTGCTTCTTTTTGGGATGAAATAGATTTATGTGAGCAGTTGAAACAAATCATTGACTGAAATAAAACTTTAACCCTGTTTAAATATGTAAAATTCTGTGTAGCAAGTTCTTTCCTATAAAAGGCTGGCCTTGAAGAGAAGGTCTTATAAATGTACGCTGAGCCAGGGGTACACATGGTTCTGGACAGACTGTGAGTCAGGTAGTTTCTATGGTTGTTGAAATGTGGTGGCTCACACCTTTAATCCCAGCACTCAAGAGGCAGAGGCAGGGAGGCAGGCAGATCTCTGTGAGGTCAAGGCCAGCCTGGTCTACAGAGTTCTAGGACAACCAGGGCTACACAAAGAAACCCTGTCTCAAAAACCAAACAGGCAAACAACCCCCCCCCCCAACACACTCACACAACAGAACTAAAGGATTCTGGGGAATTGTGAGTACATTCAGGACAAAGACCAGGTATCAAAAGGTGGGTCACAGGAATTTAGGAGGGCCAGTTTCCAATGTCCAGTACTACAGGGAGACCTACCCAATTCATCTAAGAATTAGAACCTTATTTCTAGGGGGGAAAAACTACTGTAGTTGATAAGTGAATCTTTCCAAAAGATAACCCTTATCCCTTAAGTTTACTACATGCATTGAAAAATGTTTGTGGCCAGGCCTGGGCGGGAATTTGAGTAGTGCACTTTCAGATACACTTGCCTGGGAAGCGGTGATGGGAAGAGTGGGCTGCAGCTCGGGAAGCTCGGTGCTGCTCCGTGATGAGACAGCGGTGCCCTGGCACAGTCATGGAGAGTCCTCTGTACACAGGAGCTGGGACTGGCACTGCAAGAGGCTTAAATAAGGAGCCAGTGGCTGAAGACTTGCTTGTGGCTTCCCAATGCTGCCTTTTGACCAAACTGTATAATGGTAGCTCAAAATATGCTACTATAACAAAAACACTGTAGACAAGGCAGGCAGGAGGCTGAAACATGCAAGCTGGAGGCAGCAGCAGATGCAGTCCCTGACTTGTAGATGTGATCTGTATCCTCATTTGGTGGAAGTCATCGTCCCTGTCTTTACCAGACACTCAGCACATTCCAAAAGGCTCCACCATAACTGCATGCGAAGAGCTCATCTGTATTGGTTTGGATAGGTGTGGTCCCCGCTGACATGTGTTTGAATGCCTGGTCATAGGAAGTGGCCCTATTAGGAGGTGTCACCTTGTTGGAGGAAGTGTGTCACTGTGGGGGTGGGCTTTGAGGTCTTGTATGCTCAAGCCACGCCCAGTGTCACAGTTCACTTCCTGCTGCCTGCAGATCAAGATACAGAACTCTCAGCTCCTCCAGCGCCACGTCTGCCTGCACGCCACCATGTCCTGCCATGATGATAATGGACTGAACCTCTGAACTATAAGCCAGCACCAATGAAATGTTTTCCTTTACAAGAGTTGCCAATGGCCATGGTGTCTTTTCACAGCAATAGAAACCCTAATTAGGACATCTCTGAATCCATTTGGGGGAGTAGGCTTAGACAAAGGAGTTTGAAAGGGCCCCAGAGTTGTCCATAGCATAGTACATAGAAATTACTGTTGACAACATGACTGTGGAGAGGGTTATGTTCCTATGATGCTGTTGATAACGTGGAAAGGCCCAAGTAGCAAGCACTGTGGCGGGTTTAGAAAGGGTTGATAGAGGGTTTGTACAGCAAGAACTCCAAATGTCTCCCGCTTTCTCATTCTGTCACTTAACATTTTTCTCTTTGAGTCAATACTATTGATGATCAAGGTTGCCTAGCACCAGTCTGAGTGCTGGGTAGATCAACATCTAGTGGAAGAAAGTAGCCCTGATCCCTCACTTGACAGGATAGGGACTGAAAACGTTTCCCAAGGCTCTTTAGCCAAATTCTCATCTCCTTATGTTCTGCAAGACCAACATTTTTTTTTTTTGAGTATTGGTTATTTTACGGACTATTTCACAGTTGGGGTTTTCTGCTTTTGTGATGACGATAATGAAAGTGCAGTTATATATCTTCAAGTGGAAGACTGCAGGTAAAGCATCCTCGCATACTGAGGGCGCATGCATTCAGGGTGCATCACTAACTTAACCTGGTGACCTGCTGAGGTTATGTTTGTCAAATTTCCCTGAAACTTTTCCTCTGCCCACCTCCTTTTCTACACTGTACTCTTTAAAAGAAAATGAACTATGTGAAGCCCAAAGCTAGGGAGTTACACTTCACTTCTTTGAGAGGGAAAAAAAACAAAAACCAGGCTTTTACCTATATGAATACTCCGGGGTTAAATATTGTGCAAACCATTTTGGGATGTCAAATGTCCCTGCACTTCATGCACCAAGTGCAGCTAGTAAAACAAACTGAAAATGGCCCCCACATGTCTCCAGAATGACCCCTAGGGGTCAGTACTGCCCTGCTGAAACCACTAGCCTCAAGATTTCTGATTCTAGTTTCTTCAAAGCGAGTGTGACCTGGCAGCATTTACGAAGGGACGAGTACAGTCTACACTTCATTGCATTCCTGCTTAGAATGGAGGGTATTTTTCACCACTGATCAGCAGCTACTTGTCTGACCTCTTTGCCTTTGGAAGCCCTTCTGAACAGTGTTTTGCACAGTATTTTGTTAAATTGCATACTTAAAGTTAGGGCAAACTGATGGAATGTGCTAGTAACAGGCACAATGACGCAGTAGCACTAAGGACGCAATAACACCCGGATGACCCGGAAAATGGCCAGCTAGTGACAGTTAACTGAGCTTAACCAGACAGCACCCTTTGATGGAGGAAATGATGACCCAGCTCAGTCTAATCCCCAGTTAAGATAAACTGTACAGCAAATGCATAAACTTGATGGTAGCATATTAGCATAAAAATGAAGCTAGCAAGCATATTATCGAATATTTTAAAATGCTAATATCCAGGACTTTTAGAGCTGTAATTAAAGAGGTACTTCATAGATGTCATCAAACTACACATTAGAGCTGGAGGTAGGGCTAAGAGCAGTTGCTGCTCATGCTGAGGATCCCAGTCCAGTTTCCGGTACCCACAATTCACATCCACCTTTAACTCTAGCATCAGGGGATCTGGCACCCTTTTTCTGGTGTTTACACTGAAGAACACACGAGCACGCGCGCACACACACATACACACACACACATACAATATAATTTTAAAATAAAAAACCCTACAGGTTAGATTTACAATAGGCTTTAAGACTTTAAGGGTGTTAAAATGGTCTGCTCCTTTTATTCGGTTAATCCTGTGGTATTCTGTATGCTAGAATATAACCAGGGATTTTAAATTCTAAACTAAATGCAGCTTGTTGCTTGCATTACTTTTTTACAGTCGCAAAAAATAGTAGAGAAGCCCCCAAAAGAGGAAACAGTTAATTTTATAATGATAGAATGTTATCTTTTCTCATGTCATTTGAGCATTCAAACATCATTTTAGACCTTTAAAAAAAAAACAATGGAAGGATGCCATAAGGCAGTAAGTGAAGAGACAGAAAGAAATCTGTGTAGATCATGATCTTGATGTTAGCAAAATAAGAACCATAGAAAGACGGGGGAAATACCAAGTTAGGCTCATCACTAGCTACTAACTTCCTGCTATTGTTGTGAATTTTCAAAATTATTCCAAGTGAGCAACTATGACCTTACTTTTTAAAAATGCATTTTTAGTGCATGTGCATTGGTGTTTTGCCTGCTTGTAAGTCTGTGTGAGAACGTCTGATCCCCAGGAACTGGAGTTATGGACAGCTGTGAGCTGCCATGTGCGTGCTGGGAATTGAACCCTGGTCCTCTGGAAGATCAGTCAGTGCTCTCAACTGCTGAGCCATCTCTCCAGCCTGACAAGTATTACTTTCCAAATAATAAGAACTATTTCTTAATTTAACAATTATTATATTACCCCTTGAGAAAATGAGGTTTTTAAAAATGCTTGTCTAATCCAGGTGTAGTGGTGCATGCCTTTAATCCCAGCATTTGGGAGGCAGAGGAAGTGGATCTCTGTGAACTTGAAATCCAGGACAGCCAGAGCTACACAGTGAGACCTGTCTTGAAACAAACAAATCCAAAACAACAACAAATCCTTTTGTCTGACGCTCAAACTTTTCTTTTTTGGTTTTCTGAGACAGGTTTTCTTTGTGTAGCCCTGACTGTCCTGGAACTTGCTCTGTAGACCAGGCTGGCCTCAAACTCACCTACCTCTGCCTCCTCCTGAGTGCTGGGATTAAAGGTGTTGATTACCAAACCCAGCCCAAATTTCTATTCAGGAATGACAACATATTAAAGATTAGAAAATACATTATTTAAGTTGTATAAAACTTCATAGTTGAAAAGTTGTATTCTTTTTTTTTTTTTTTTTTTTTTTTTTTTTGGTTTTATGAGACAGGGTTTCTTTGTATTGTTTTTGAGGCTGTCGGTCCATCCCGGCCTCGAACTCACAGAGATCCGCCTGCCTCTGCCTCCCAAGTGCTGGGATTAAAGGTGTGCGCCACCACCGCCCAGCCTACTTGCATTTCTTAAAAGTTCAAATAGATTAAAAAAAACACTCAGGAAAGAAGTGGGCACATTCTCGTGCTCTCTGCTCAGTGTCAGCCGATTCCCGAGCATAGCACAGCCCTCACAGTCAGTACTCCTCAAACACACGGCTGATGTCACTCAGAAGCCAAAGACAGCTTGACTGCCCTTACAGATCCCCAGACAAATGACATCTCAGGACCGGGATGTTTCCTTTTTCTCAGTTCCAGGAAGACGTGGTCACAATGTAGGGACTCACTGCTCTCCAGGGCTGTCTTTCCTAGCTCCCCTCCCAGGTGACAGCTGCAGGTTTCAGGATGTTCAAAGACAAGAGCCATGTTCCTGCATGGCACCTCGGGAGCCTGTGGCTTAGCTGCTTAAATGGAGGTGGGCGATGAATTATCAAGCCAGGAAGGCAGGTGAGTTAATAATTTCAACATCATGTCATGTAATGATATAAAGATTTAATGGAGTGTGTACAGCATGATTGGGGGCACGAAACCATATTAGATGTCCTTGTAGAACAAGACTGAGTATACAAGACAGTTGTGTGTTGAGAACAATTATGATCTGTGGAGGCAAAGTGGACAGAACGGGACAGCAGAGAGCAAAGTGTCAACAGGGACAAACTAGGTTTGATATCAATACCTACCACCCTATGTGGGTCTGCCGGTGGCAGTTCCTAGCATCTGATGGCCTTGTGTGACTCTCACAGCTGGACACATGATCAGACTCACTTGGGTTTGTTTAACCATAGGTGTCTGGGCCCCACTGATGGGCTAGGTCTGCAGAGGGCTCTGTGGTGAGCTTTTATTTATTTGCTGTGGACGTGTGAGAGAGGGGAATAGGGATACAGAGAGGGTATCTTCCTCCTCCATTGCTACACCTGAGTTTTTGAAAAACACGGACTATTGCTGAATCTGGATTTCACCACTTAAGCTAGATGGCTGGTCACTGAGCCCCTGGGATGCACTTGTCTCTGGCGAGCTCAGTATCGGGGTTACAGATGACAAGGGCTACTACACCAAGATTTTTCACGTGGGTTCTGGAGGATCCCAAGGTAGGTCCTCATGCTTGTCCACCAGGCACCCTGACCACTGATCTACCTCCACAGCCTTATGATGAACACTTCTATTCCTAAGTTCCCATGTGGTGCTGATGAGGCTAGTCAGTCGTAGACCGCACTTTGAAGATGGTACCACTAGTTATCAATGTTCTCCGTGAATTGGTGGCTAAGCAGCCAGCACCTGGAGATGTTGTCACAGGAAGCACGGAAACTGCAGGTGGGAAGCAGAGAGTGCCGGATGGTTACCCTGGTAGGTGAGCACCATCCTTCCTGGGAGTTGTGGGAAATCATGACTGATTCAGTTGCTGTGATGTGGTGGGCTCAGTCTCCCTGTCAACCTCTCAGTGGATTGTGATTCTCAACAAGCTCAAGTGTAGACACTGTGTAAGCAATTGTTGCTGTTGTTTTTCCCAAGACAGGGTTTCTCTGTGTTACAGTCCTTAGTTGTCCTGGAACTCACGTTGTAGACTAAGCTAGTCTCGAATTCACAGAGATCCGCCTGCCTCTGCCTCCCCAGTGTTGGGATTAAAGATGTGCGCCACCAATGTCCAGCTTGGGTAAGCATTTCTATGTTTTGGATGAGTGGCCCTTGGTCTTTCTTCACCCATCTTCAATTTTCTTTTGAGAGTATAGGATGAGGAAGACATTGGCTGGGTGTCCATTGGCCTTCCCCTTAGAGTCCATGTTCTCATAACGTTCTCCATGGCTGCTCGTCAACTGTCCCTACGGGTTTGCTAGTCATCTATTCCAGGGAACCTCTCTTCCCATTGAACTGAGGAGCTTACTTATGCCACAGAACTTCCTACTTTCAGCTCTTCATCTGGTAGGTTTTCTGCCAGTACATAAGCTATTCCCCCACCATGTGCACTTCTCAGAAGAACCAATGTTACAGATCAGGAGAAACAGTTACCTCTGGGGAGGAGTGAATGGCAGTCAACCGGAAGCACAGAGCACAGGCACTTGGGAGGACACACAATGTTCCAATGTGTTCTCTTGTTCTTCTTTACTAGGCTACACTGTGGAAGTCAAACAAGCTGTGTTTGTGTGCCTTACTGGTCCTGTTAGACTTTAATACCAGTGCTCCTCCCTCAAAGGAACCTACCTTAAATGGGAGAAGAGTGTCAAGAGGAGCGCTCTGTAGAACAAAGCAGTCCTCCTGGGTCGATCGTGTTGCTGTCTCCTTACCATGGAGTCCAGTTAGTCACTGGAGAACACAGTCTGCTCTTTACAAGAATGTTTTTGTTTGTTTGTTTGGGGGGGGGGGGCTAGGGAGACTGCTAAGAGGCTAAAAGCACTAGCCACGCAAGCTGGGACCCACATTTAAGAACAGGGGTAGTGGTGGTGGATGTGGTGGCATGCATTTGTAATCCTGACACTCCTGTGGTAAGAGGGGAGGTGGATACAGGGGAATGGCCCAGAAGCGGGGAGGCCAGACAGCCTGGAGTACACAATGCTGAAGGCTGCCCTCTGAATGCCATGCGTGCACCCGGGCACACGCACAGGCAGGGCCTTCCTTGACATCGTTCCCTTCAACTCCATGAACGAACCTGTGATCACTAGTTCTAATCTGACTTCCCTAACTGTTCTGTCTCCAGGTTCTCTTCTCTTTGAATACAGACGAGATTTAAAAGGGAGCTGATTCCAGGCTGGAGATCTGGACTCCATTGCTAAAGGTGGGCACCAGGTTCAAGGGAGGGGTGGGAGGGGGACTGAATGGGAACCGTTTTGTGCCTGTGCCTGGAATAGACAATATTCCTTTAATACAATGTCCTCAGCATTGCCCTTTTTTATACACAGCCACATCTTTCTTTGGTGATGTCTCCCGCTTTCATGGCCTTAGCTATCACCTCTTTGATAAAAACCAGTTAAGGTGATAAAAAGATTAAAGCTGTAGCATAGGCAGAGCAAACACGGAAGTATAATTAATGCTCAGTACTATTTGGCTGACGTGTGTCTTGGTCTTCCTAGACTTGGGGAACGACACTGATAAGCTTATTTTCCCACATGGAGGAACGCCTTTAATGGTTACCATTTATGCGCCCTTCTGGTCCCACACCTCTTTCTATCTCCCGATCAGGGCATTCTTCTTTTTATGTCCTTGGTCTGTCACACTGACTGACTGCTTCCTTTTTATTTCTACCCTAAAGCAGCTCCTTTCAGATGCTGGCATATCATAACCCTCAAGAGAAAACAGCACACTGTATGAAAGAAGCCAGCCACAGAGGACCACAGACTGGATGGTTCTGTTCCTCTGAAATGTCTGGCGCTGGCAAATCTGCAGGGATGGGAAGCAGATTACTTGTTGCCTGGGGCTGGAATGAGGGGTGGGGAATAGGAAGAGACTTGACAAAGACGTTGGGATTTCTTTTCATTGCATTGAAAAGGCTTGAAGTTGGAACAGACGTTTGCAAAGCCTTGTGGACACACTAGAATCCGCTAAACTGTGCTTTTTAAACAGACTCATTCTAGTAAAGCTATTAGAAAAACCAAACAAAAGAAAAACCATAATGGCATAGTTGTGATCGGCTTTCTGTCACTAAAAATACAATACCAAGAAGAGATGATTAATTTACGAAGATCAGTTTTTATTTTTGTATATGTGAGCATGTGCATGTGTGTGGGTGCCTGTGGAGGCCAGAAGAGAGGGTGCTGGATCACCTGGAGCTGCAGTTGCAGGGAGTTGTGATCTGTCTGATGTGGGTGCTGGGAGCTCATCTCTGGTCCTCTGCAAGATCAGCAAGTGCTCTCACTCCTGGGCCAAACCCTTCCATCCCCAGAGGTAGTTTCAGAGGTTTTAGTCTGTGGTCACTGACCTAGTCGTTCTGGGCCTGTGGTGAGGCAGGGATAATGTGGTGAGGAGAGTTCCTTGTTTTGTGGTAGCTGAGAAGGAAAGACAGACCTTATTTTTATTACAAACTTTATTCTCCAAACCCAGTAAACTATGAGTCTGTAAGCAGACCAGCCCATTAGTAGGTCAGAGGTCTCACGATCCAATCACCGTCCAACAGGCTTGTCGCTTCATGCTGCTGTGCAGGGGATCGAGCCTTCAGTGTGCGTGGTTTGGGCGGTCTGACGTAAGCCACGCTGGTTGGTTGAGAGAGACTTCTGGCCTTCACCTAGCCGAGCAGGCTTTCATCCTAGGCTTCAGAGGGTCTGGTTTAGTTGCAACATGCATTTATGAAGAATTCCTATGTGCTGCTGCTCCTGAACCCCACACACAAGCACTGCTCTGCAGAAGGGGTGCCCTGCAGCAGAGCTGTGAGTCAAGCATGGCGAGCATGCCTGTGACCCCAGCTGCTCTGGGGACCCAGGAGGGAAATCACATTCCCCTTCTTTACTGAAGTGCAAGTTGTTCCTTTACAATTCAGTATATGTACATCTTTCTTATTAACTGAAAAATACTCCATAGTATATTTCATCATCACTCAGCTTACTTCTCTACTGACGAACACTCTAGGTGCTTCCATTTTAAAACACAGCCATTTGCTGGGTGGTAGCGGCGCACGTCTTTAATCTCAGCACTCAGGACAGTCAAGGATACACAGAGAAACCCTGTTCCCAAACCAACCAAACAACCAACCAAACAATTAATTAAATAAAAATGCAACTAGTATCAAAGTAAATATCCTCAGAGAGAGAGAGAGAGAGAGAGAGAGAAACTTTTACATTGGCAGATTCCAGGGAGAATGGGCTACCTGCAATATCTATAAGCAGGTATATTTCAATTGGAATAAATATTGACACATTCCTTTCCAAAGAAGCTGAGGAAGTTCACAGTCTCCTTTGACTCAATACACTGAGAACAAGTGAAACGGAATGCCTTTCCATGCTTTTTGGCAATCTTCATTTTTCTATTTTATGCAAAGCAGACTCGGTTCCTTTGCTCATTTTTTTTGGAACATTTGCCTTAGTGTTTTTTTTGACAAAGGTTTACAACCCTCTGTTTTTTCAGCAGCTATTTAATTTTGCTATATTAAACTAGGACAAATGTGAGAATCTAAAGTATCTTCCTCTTTACCCTACACTGGCTTTCCTCAGGGTAGCATATGCAAACGTTCTGTACAGAGCTACCTTTGGGTAGTTGTCAAACAACAACAAAAGGAGACTTTCTTAGAAACTCTCCAAAGAGAATTTCTGGTGATGGGTACCAATGTATCCAAGCCATTCTAACACTACTTTACCTGCCTGATTCATTCTAGAGGATTTCTAGACCAGCACAATCCAACAGAACTTTCTGCAATAACGCAAATGTTCCATATGCAAACGGTCCAACACAGTACCTACTGAGTTCTTAAAATGTAACTAGAGTCCGAGAAATGAATATTTAAACTGGAGGCTGCCATGCTGAGCTGCAGCTCTTGACTGTTAGCTCCCTGAAACCTGAACCTCACCTTCATCTCTGCCTCCCTCTGTGTCTGACTCAAAGTAGCCTGCACATGAAAAACGACAATAAGAAAGCCTAGGTGATGTGGAAGTCCTGTGTCAATAAAGCACTGCTGGCCAATAGGAATCTAGATAGGTGGGACTAGGAGTCCAGGAGGACTCTGGGAAGGAGATACACAGAGAGTCAAGATGTAACGCCATGGGGTAGGAAGCCCGGAACTATTCTCCGGTAAGAGACATACTTAGATTAACAATTATGGGGTAATTACTTAAGTCAGAGCTAGCCAGTAAGAAACAAGCAAGGCCAACAGCTTCAATAATTAATATAGCCTCCTGTGTGTTTATTTGGGACTGATGCGGCTCTGGAACCAGGCTGGCGGGAAGGCTTCTCTCAAGGAAAAGGTTTCTCTTTACACCTAGGCAATCACTAATTGTTTAAGGTTCTTGGTATATATACTAAGAAACAAAGAGGGACTGGACAGATGGCTCAGTGGTTAAGAGCATTGGCTGCTCTTTCGGGAGTCCTGAGTTCAATTCCCAGCAATCACGTGGTAGCTCAGAACCATCTCTAATGAGATCTGATGACCTCTTCTGGTGCGCAGGCATACATGTAGATAGAGCACTCACACACAATAAAATAACTTAAAAAAAGAAATGATGAAATGCCAAAATTCAAGTATTAAAATGTGGTATGCTGTAATATTTGCCTTGCACTTACATGATGCCTTACTATCTTATGCTAATTTTAGGATTAAAATATTCAACCACTGAGGTAACTGGTTTCTGATAACTAAGAATAGTCATCACACTCAACCACTCTCAGTCATTACCTATATAAATATTACAGACTTATTAAGACAACAATGAGTCTTTTATGATCTTTCATGTCCTTTCTATTAAATATACGTATGGAAACATATGTACTACAGAACATGATAGGTTATCAGTCTGTGGGACAGAGCGGAGTTATAAGCAAAGACTAGGGTACACAGAGAATTAGTCTTTGAAGTTCAAGCCTCCTAGATGATAGATAGCATCAAGAGAGATAAGAGAAACTGAGGAGACTGGAGAACTTGAGACTTGTTCACTATGATTTCATTTGTCCATCTCCGTCAGAAGAAAAAGTGGAAGGAATGTTATCCTCCAGAGTTGCAAATACTGTTGAAACTTCTCAGAAGATAACTCATTGTTCCTGTTCTTACTGAACACAGGAGAACTCATTAGGCACAGTCCTCCCAGTCTGAATTGAGGGCAGAAGGCTACACTTTATGCATTGGATATCTATCATAAGCATATTTGCCATTTATTTTCCCCAAACAACTGAGGACGGCTGCAACTACACAGAGAGTGCACACATCTATACATGATTCCGGGCAAGCAAAACCTAAACATGCTTGGATCAGGAACAAACTAGAATGCGGATATGCAGGCCATGACTTCATACCTGGGCACTCAATCGCAGTCACATATATGTTTCCTTATGAACCCAGGGCATTGCATGTGTTAAACTGCACTGCATTCCTAGCCCAGAGCCACAAATGTGACTCAGTGCTTCATGTCAGCCAAGTTGAAAAGAGGAACCATGGAGCCATACAGCACACACACACACACACACACACTCACACACACACTCACACACACTCACACACACACTCACACACACACTCACACACACACTCACACACACACACTCACACACACACACACACACACACCACAGTCACTCGAGGCGAGTCACTTCATGACACTCGGCCTTGAAAGAAATGTCCTATGGGATTTCCTCTGGGGAATGCAAAGCCATGGAGTCCACAGTAAGTCTTACAGGACAGGCATTCATAGGTTCTGGGGGGGCTGTTCCTTCTGGGGAGGCATGATACTTGACAAACTGGTGCAACACCCATGGCAGTGGGCAGGAAGGTTTGTGAGCGTGGGTTCAGGACAATATGGACAAGCATGTTTTCTGTGGGATCAGCAAGCATCATGTGCTTGTCTAAAGACAGATATGCACCATTCAGAATCCTATCAGCAGATGGGAAGGGGGCCGACAGCTCTTTATGAAGAGTGAGCCACCTCATGTGGGGACTGTCAACTTTACATAACCATTCCTGTCTCTATGGTGGTCGCTGGAGGGGCACAGACAATCTAGGAATTTTCATAAAACCAGGTGTCTAAAATAACGTGGGAAAAATGTTCAAGTTTTATGCAGTAGAACAGGCCTATAAACTCACAGGTTATTTTCTCTTCCTTTTTTAAAAGTTCACATTAGTTGCCAATATTTCGAGATAAATAGATTTCAAGTCTGACAATGTTGGATGCTTCTATTATACCTCATGGCAAAATCTGCTAAGTGGGGTACAGAACACTGCCCATATGCTTCAGCTATTTAGGTACTGAAATGCTGATGCGGGATGATGGAAGATTTGGATTAATTTTTTTCAAGAGAATATTGGTATACTCATTAGATTAGTATGCACATGCATGTATCTCTGTTGTGGGTATGTGCCTATGAGACCACAGAAGTTTGGTGTCCAGAAGAGGGCGCTGGATCTCCTGAAACAGATGTTATAGGCAATGAGCTGCTCCACTTGAGTGCTGGGAACCAAACTCAGGTCCCCCCCACCCCCAAAGCTGTCTCTCCAGCCTCACTGCTCACTTTATTTATTTATTTGTTTTTTTGAGACAGGGTTTCTTTGTATCGTTTTGGAGGCTGTCCTGGAACTCGCTCTGTAGACCAGGCTGGCCTCGAACTCACAGAGATCCTCCTGTCTCTGCCTCCTGAGTGCTAGGATTAAAGGCATGCGCCACCAACGCCTGGCTCATTGTTCACTCTTGACTGTAAGAAATCTGAATGGGCTCTTCCAAAACGTATAGCTACCAGCCAAGTGACTGGTTAATAAATACACCTGGGAAGATCCCATACAAAACATACCCACCTTGGTTAAAGAAAAAAAAGACCCTTAGGCATGAGTCGTGTAAGTCATGCTTTCTAGCACCCTTCCATGCAAACAGGAATCACATGGCATCAGCAGTGACAGTGAATGGGTGCAAGCATCAGGGATCCTGGCCCGATATATCACTTACTAATTTTGTGAACTTGAGTGATTACTTAAACTTTCCGTGATGTAGCTTTCTGATTTGTAAGTATTGTAATTAATAATGTCAGCTACCTCAAAGGGCTGTTATGAGACTTGAACGAGCTGGTGATGCCTGTAACACATTGAAACAGAAGCAGCACAGGTGCAGGAACTGTGTGCCTGGCATGTAAGCATCATTATTACAGTAAATACTACAATGCATGGGTGTTACATTAGCAGTATGGAGAAAGAGCATTTAAGTCATCAGGACTCCGACGGAACGTTTCCTAGAAAGGAACTGCCTGTCATGGATCTAAACCTTGGTTTAGTAATTGTTTTACCCTTATATAGCCTGCTATAGTATGCCCACACCTTAACAAAAAAATACAAACCAAACCAAATAATCAAAAAAAGTCCATTTATGGCAACTAGGTATCTACCCACCTGTTTGTCTCTGCTCCAAATCGAATAGCTTGCATAACTGAGTGATTGCCATAGTTGTCTGGACAGAAGTAGCACAGCTCATACTAACTTGCAAGTGTTTGGTGAAATGGCCTTAGCTGGATATTTAAGGATCCTGTTATAAACAGTGTGTGATTTTCTCTGTTCCTTCCATGAGCTTCAGATACTCTTCTTTCCGAGTTGGAAGTCACAAATCCTTGGGCCACTCTGGATAACTGATGCGACTCTCTTTATAGATGATACCAGTTATATAACTGAATTGCATAACCATGTTTCCCACTTCATGTCCCTGCCCGGAAGCCCTGAGTACATTTGCTCACTCGGCATTTGTAACTGAGTGGATTGGTGTGCAGATCTCTTTCCAGTGGTATGGTAGTTTCCCATCCTCACCTTAACAAAATATGTGAGATAACCATATTTGTTCTAGCTCACAATTACAGAGGTTTCAGTCTGGTATTCATGGGCTCCATTGTTTTAGGCATGTGGAGTGACGGAGTGCATGTCGGAGCAAAACCACTCACCTCATGACAAGGATGCAAAAAGAAACAAAAAGGCCAGGCTCCCACAATCCCTTTCAAGGGCACACATTTTAATGTTCTCAGGACTAAGCGTTTCTCATCAGTCACAGACCTGTGCTGTTTGGCTGTTGGACATTTTCCTCTAAATGTTGAGGGCCCCTCCATCAGACCATAGTCACAGTGCCTAGTCTGTGAAGCAGCCTGACACACTGTGTGCTTTCTCTTTTCTAGATAAAGGAGAATGCACCAGGACACTGTCACCTTTATTGTTGATGGTGCTGGTTTCTTATGGCTGTTGTGGTAAGTTAGTACAAACTGAGTGGCTTAATAACAATTCATGTTAAGTGTTCTAGAAGTCAAAAGTCCTAAACTCAAGAATCCAGGTGCGTGTCCTATCCAGTTTCGATAGGCTGCCTGTGGCACAAATTCTAGTTGGTATTAATAATAAAAACACAGAGTCAGATACTGGGGTTCAAGCTGAAGACTACAAGAGCAAAGTGGCCAGCCACTTGAGAATTCTCACCTCTACCAATGCTCAGACCAAAGGGTGATCCTGTACTCAGGATGCATGTCCAGACTGCACTGAGCTCCTGTCTCCTCCTGCCTTATAGTCCTCTCTAGTCTGGGATTAAGACACGTCACTCCAAGTGCTGGGATCACCTTTGTGTGCACTCTGTTTCTCTTTTAGCCTGAGTCAATTTTGTGTAGCCAGAGCCATCTGCCTCTGTCTCCCAAGTGCTGGGATTAAAGGCATGCACCATCACTGTCTGGCCTCTATGGCTAACTAGTGTGGCTAGCTCTACTCTGATCTTCAGGCAAACTTTATTTGTTAGATCATAAGCAAAGTGTCACCACAGGCCTGCACTCCTTTGGTCCATTTTCCAGGCTAACTGGGCAGTATCTTCAAGTCTCTGTGACCTCTACTTCTCTCACATCCTTCCCGACTCTGATGTTCTTGTCCCCAGCCAGGGGGCCTATTCGGGCATCTTATGTCTGTCTGCCACATTCAGAACATATTAGCAGATTATGGAGATGGGGGGAATGTTATTCTGTAAAACACGACTCACAAAGTTAGAACTGGGTGTTACCTGTGGGCAGTTTCTTAGCGTGAAACCCTAGGATTTGCTTTATATTCCCTGGACTAGGCACCTTCATCCCGCCACACACCAACAATTTCTTCGAAGACTTCCTATGCTCAATTCGCTCTTTTAAATGTACCAATCTGGAAGTTAATTCTCTGAGGAAAGGTAAGCTGGGACATGTGTAGCAAAGGCTAGAAGTATGAAATTAGTGGACATCGTTCCACATGAAAGATTTGAGCGGAGTGTGTCTCCCCAGATGACATACTTATTCACTAACTCATCGTTCTATCATGGCCATCAGTCGGGAATGCCATTGCCGTTTAGTAACGCACGCACGCACCTTCATCTTTCTTCCCATCTTGCTAAACAACGTCAGCACCCATACGAGAATCCTAGCCTACTTACTCATCCCCCCCACTCAGCGACGGCCTCCCGGTTTACATTCCCATCCCAGTGCCTTGGCTGCTCTGTTCACTCCTCTCGTTCCGAGTGACATAGCAGAATGACGTAGCAATGACGTAGTCACGTCACTGTGCATGCCCCGCCCACCGTCAGGGGGCGGGGTCGGTGTGATGCCCGGGTTCCTTCGCAATGGCCTCAGATGGGCTGCCCTGGGCCAGCGCTGCTTCCGTTCATTTTCACTTCCTGTTTAAGACGCCTTTGCATGGATATTGTCTTCCGTCTTCCAATCCTCGCGCCCAGATCACTTCCAAGGGAGATGACTCTCCTAGTTTCAACCAGGCTCAGGCTTGCAACCGATTTCTATGGCTTCCAAGTCCACAGTCACCGTCGCTTCTTCTTCTGTGAAAGGAGTCTAACGGGCTTTATACTTTACATTCAGTAGTTCCGGAGGGCAGAATGGTGAGTGGTTACGTCCGGGCTTCTGCCAGGGTCTTGAAATCAAAATGAAATCAGGTTCTCCGGCAGCCTTGCACGCACTGTTTCGTCTTAAATTCACACCTTTCCGGTGCAGGCAGGCAGGCAGGTCGGGCATTACATTTCACACTTGCAGAACGAGGAAACTGAGTCATGGGATGCCAGGCCTGGCCTTCATCGCACCTTTATGCTGCTCGTGGCTCGCTTGGCTCATCCTTTCTCCTTGGAGAACTTTCTCGCACCGTCCATCGGGCAGGCGACTTACCGAAGAAAGGCAAAGCTTTCTCTGACAAGCGCTCCGGCTCTTCCCCATGCGCAGTGACGCAACCAATGACGCTATCGGGTGACGTGTGATGACGTGACTTACCCCGAGCCAGGTGCCGGCAGGGCGGCCACACCCTGAGGGCCCAGTTCAGGAGGGACAAGTGGCTCGGACGGGCGGAGACTCGCCGCAAGGCCCCCCGCCTGAGGCGTCCCGGGGGCCCTGAAATCCTGGGTCCTACCGGCCTACGGTTGATCCGTTGCTAAGTGACGCCAGCGCGCAAGGCGCGTGCGCGGCCACGGCGGTGTGCGTGAAGGCGGGCGCGCGCCGCGACGGCGGCGGCGGGGAAGGCGGCGACGGCGGCGACCGAGGGGGCGGTGGCCACGAGGCAGGGTCTCTGCGGGCGGAAGAGACGTGCGTGGCGGCATCTAGGTCGCTGAGGAACATCGTCGGGGTGAGTCGCCTCCGGGACCGCTCGGGGGAGGTGGGGCCTGGCCGCACCTGCTGCGCGGGCCCGGGACGCGGATACGCGCGTCCTCCCCCCCCCGCCGTACCCGCGCGCGCCGCTCCACGCCCCTCGGCCGCTGGTTCCGGGGGAAGGGGCGGGGAAGGGGGCTGACGAGGGTCAGTTCCCGGGCCTGGTGTGCTTGGGGGTGCGGAGGGACAAGTGACTGGATTCCGGGATGACGCTGCCAGCTTCCCCTCCACTGAGGAATTCGAAGCGGGAGGAGCCCGCCTTCCTCAGCAGCCTCGCGCCGGGATGAGAGATGCGACTGTGCAAGCCTGACAAACGCGGAAACGGGGACCCTCGGGGTTAGGGGGGCTCACAAAGTTTTGGGTTAACCGCGAAGGGCTTCGTCGGTTCTACCCTGGCGGGTCTCGTAGTGGGAGACTTTTGAGTCTGTGCCTGCGCGACATTCGGGCACACCCACGACCTGGGGGAAGGCAACCTGTCAGTGTGGATGCCAGCCGGCCAACTTGTTGCCAGGACCTTCCAGCGGCACGTGCATGCTCACGTGCTTCTCTGGCTTTTTTTTTTTTTTTTTAATCCGGTGTTGGTACTCATTTTGAGGCCGGAGGACCATATCCACTCAGTATTGTTACTTGCTCATAGACTCAAAACTGTCCTTTTTCGAGAACTGTGTTGTGCATTGGGCCATTGCAAGGGCCTCGAGGATAGGCAGCTTTACCTTTTGCGTTTGATTTCCCTAGAAGCAGTGCAGGCTGTTATCAATCGTATGCAAATATAGATTGCATTCCACGTGTGGGCTGGAATGGTGAAGCTGGAGTAAAAAGATGCAGCGAGCTATCAGTCAGTACTGTCTTAGTGTTGGACTCTAGTGGGTTGGAGTGTGGTGGTTGTCCTAACCATCCTTGGTGAAGGAGGAGACAAATGAAAGAAATTGTTTTCTTTTTCTTTCCCCATTACCTGTTGAAGGCAATGTCTAGAACCAGTGACAAGATAGGCAGCACTGATATTTAATCATGATTTATGCGTTAAAACCCGGGTGACATAACTTCAATTTCCACCCAGCTATTGAATTTTATAACGGAGGCTCTGTCAATTATGACATCTGAAGTTCTCACATCCGTAAAGCTCACTCTGTGAAGCCGAATACTCCGGATCCACTGTTCACTTACGAGCTTTTGGGACTAGAGTCATCTGCTTTCCTTTTCTGCCCGTGTTTCTTAGAAAACCGCATGCCACCGAGTCGACACGCAGCAGATACAGCATCACACTGTGCATAGATGGTTTATCAGTACTGGAGAAGCATTTAGTCTCAGCCTTCACATAGTTAATACAACCGCTCCTCTCTTTCTAGGGTTGAACTAAATTAGCGAGAGGATTGTGGGGTCGCAAGTGAGGAGATGACCAGCCCTTTCTCCTTTAACAATGAGCCCTCGGGTCAGAAGAGAAAGCCTGTGTGTTTATGTAAAAGAATCATGGAACTAAATGAGGAAGTAGTAACAGATGGGACTATAGTAGAGGAGGAAATTTAGACAAGAGGAGGTCAGAGATAGGGAACTCCGGAAGGTAAGGTTAGTGCTGGCCTTTAAAAGAAGTGTGAAGTTGGAATTCCGAAAGAATGAAGAAATCCTGTGGTGAAAAGTTAAATGTGAATTTGTTCATTGGATGGTGGAGGGATAGTTTGAAGAGACTTGTGTGACTGGAACAGAGAAAGTTTTCTTATACAGAAACAGAGAAAATCTAACAGGATGGGAGGAAAAGTGTTCCAGACTTCTAATAACAGGATAGAGCCTGTGGTTAGTTTTTGTCAACCATCCCTGGGTAGAGGGAACCCCTGTTGAGGAATTGCTGCCATCAGATTGGCCTGTGACAGTCTGTGGGGGGCATTTTCTTAAGTGATGTGTGATATAGGAGTGCTTCCTTACCTTATCCTCCCCTCCCCTGCAGAACCAGCCCTTGGCAGGGGGGCCTGGGCTGTAGGAGAAGGCAAGCGTCTAAACAGTGTCTGGCCCCTTGCCTCCAGGGTCCAGCCTTGGCTTTCTTTGATGATGGAAAATTGACCTGTAAACAAAACAAATCCTCCCCCAAATTGGTTTTGATCAGTGTTTTATCACAGCAACAGCAAATCAAGCTAAAACAGTCTGTTTGCATGGGGAATGGGGGGTTTTAATCAGAATAAAGTCTTAAGACAGGAATAAGTTACAAGTGTTATTCTTTTAAAGCTTCTATTTGTTTCTTTCTTGAGATAGGGTCTTACCATGTATCCCTGGCTAGTGTACACCATGTTGGCCTCAGACTTACTATACTCTACTTCCTGATTACTGGGAATTCAGATAAGAGCCATCATGCCATACCTAAAAATAACTCTTATATTTACTTAAAGGATATCTAGTTGAGTCTGGATGAGATGTCTATATCCTTCTATTTCATTTAGCAATTGGAATAAATGCTTCATTCCTGTGCATTTATCCTAGGTTGTCAATACTGCGTGGCTCAGCCCCTACAATCTACCTAGTGGGTTTAGGCTGCTGTTCTGGACATTTACAGAAACTATGTAACCAAAGTCATCATCTAATCATACTTGGTGACACATTGAGATTATCTCTCTCAGTGCTCTGCAAAACAATAACTGTTGATCGGGTGACAAAAATACAAATAATGTTCACTAGAAAGGGAGGCTTTCTGAAGAAAAGATACAAAGAAATTTTGGCAAAAAGATCTGACAGTAATTACACACTGCTGGAGAATCTTAAATTACCTGTAATGTTTTTTGTTATTATGTGTTTGTAGTGACACATACTTGTAATCTCAACACTTGGAAAGTGAAGGCAAGAGGTGTGGGGAGGGATTCAGCAACATCCTCTGTAACAGTGATTTTTGAAGCCAGTCAGGGCTCCATGAGACTCTGTGTCACTCTGGCCCCCCTCCCCTACAAAAAGACAGGATTCTTTAGCATGGTTTGTAAGCCTGAGGTTGAATTGCTAACTGAGATGTGTAACGTTACTCGGCAAATTTTGCATTATTTAACAACCCAGCAAATATTTATGAGGTGCTGGCTATAACTAGCTCTTCTGTCAGGTGCCGAGAGGACGTAGATGGATGAGATGCTGTAATATATTTGGCATGCAAGTGTTAATCAGAGATGATAAACCACTGGCTGTTACATGTTGTGATAAGTCAGTCACCTTGAGAATTAATAAAGTACTAGAGGAATTGACTACATTTGGGAACGACTTGATGTTGGAAGATTAGGTGAGAGGAGGATAAACCTTAGCCCCAAAGGTTTGTGCTGCGTGTGAGGAGGGAAGGGAACTGTCTAGGTAGACAGTCTAAGAAATGTTGCTGAACATCAAAATGGAATGGTCCTTCTGGAAGTTGTTCCTTACCTGTTTAATGTGTGGCAGTAGAGATGGGATAGTATATTAGAGACAAATTATGAAGGGATCTTCCATTTTCTTTTGAGACAGGATCATAGCCCTGGTTGTAAATAGGGTTCTTAATTGGTCTAAATTATAAAAACCCAGAGCCAGATACAGCAGACAATGCTGACACATGAGAGAGCCCCCTGTACCTCATTAGCTTCCCAGCCGAAAAAGACTGAGTTCCTGTTTCATCCCACATATCCTCTCTCTGCCTAGCCATCTCACTTCCTGTCTGTCCGCACAGACCCCCAGACCTCTGTGATTAGCTACTGGCGAACTCCATCCTCTGACCTCCAGACCTCTGTGATTAGCTACTGGCGAACTCCATCCTCTGATCTTCACACAGCCTTTATTTGTACAAGCGAGACCTCCCCACACCTGGTTGTCCTAGAACTCATTCTGTAGACCAGGCTGTCTTTGAACTCCCAAAGATCCACCTGCCTGTGCTTCTCCAGTGCTGGGATTAAAGGACTGTGCCTCCATGCCTGGCCCACTCTATTCTCAAAGGTCTAGACCCACTATTTAATTGGCAATGGAAAGCCAAGGAGAGTAGATCAAGCGCATCATCAGGAAGTAACCAACAGTCCCTCCCACACAGGCTGTTTTAGAATGGAGAGGCAGGGATGTGCTGGTATCTCAGGACAGGAAAGTGGGGTGGTTAGAGTTCAGGAACATTTTAGTTGTTGGAAGTTTGAAATTTTAAGAACACATAGAAGGGGAGGGAGAACAAGTTCAAGATGATACAGGCTGTGACCAAGTGGGTGACTATGATGCCATTGACTTAGAAAATAAAGGAGGGTGGTTTAAGTGTGGAGAAGTAATGGTGCTATGTTAATTTGAAGGATCTTATGGGGAGATCCACTATGTAGGTAGTTCAGAATTCTACTTCAGAGTTAGAGAGGACCAGGAACAGTGTAGTGTAAATGACTTTCTAAGGAGCATATATATAGGATAGTCATTATCTTTGGGAATGTTGGAGATAGAAAGATAACAGGCCAAATCCCTGTTGTACTATTTATTGGCTGGGTGACCTTGCACAAATTAATGTCTTTTATCCTCGGCTTTTTGTTGGAATTGAAGAATTATTGTAAAGACTGAATAATAGGGTCTATACTTGGTGATAGCAGTGCATATCTTGCGTACAAATGTTAGACAAAAGGCAGCTGTTGCTTCAAGAGTAGTAATATAGTAGACTGTCCAACTACATAAAAACAAAAACAAAAAACAGAATGGGAATTGCAAAGGACAAAAATTGGAACTTGGGAAAACCAACAGGTGAATCAGTGTTTAAGCTCATGTCATTTCTTGGCTAGAGCAGCTGTCAATCTGTTTTCTATTTGTGTGAGAAAATGCTGGAGACTAAAGAGTTTATAAACAACAGAAACTTGTTTCTTCAGATTTCTAGAAGTTGAGATGCCCAAGGTAATCTGGTAGATTGCATGGCGAGGGGTAGTGTCTGTCTGTCTGTCCCTTTCTTCTTTTATAGGAACCTTACTCCCGGAGCAACAACAGAAGCCTGTCTGATTACCTCACAGATGCTCTGTCTCTTTACACAGTTGCACTGAGGGTTAAGTTTCCAACCCATGAGCTCTGGAGAACCTTAAAACCATGGCAGTTCCCAAACTTGAGCATGCATCAGAAGTACTCGGTGGGGGGTGAGTGGGGGGCACGCTTGGTAAAACCAGAAACCCAAGCCCATTCTCTCTAAGTTTCAGATCAAGTAAGTCTAGACTGGACTTGAACAAGTGCCCAGGTGATGCTATGCTGGGACCAAACTTGAAAACAACTGATGTAGACCCTTGTGAGTAGAAGAAGAATGATCATGGACATTGAGATGATGTTGAAATTTTTGGAGAATCAGGGAGCAGTTCAGAGAAGAACCAGGAATTTAATAGTTTTCAGGCTATAGGTTCATCACCTGGGTAGTTCCATAGATCTCATTTGTAGTGGTCTTCCCCAGAATCTACCAAATGCCTGCTATGCAACAGTGTTTGAATGAACCATTTATAATGCTGATCCCTGTGGGTGATTGAGTGTCCTTCACACCCATTTCACTCAGGAATTCATTGCATCAATGAAGATATTATTTTTAATTTTACACACATGAAATAACTACAGAAAAACTTTTAGTAAACTCATGTATAACTTGTGCATTTGTCTTTGTGTTAGATATTTTCTTCTCACCCCTGTTTTCATTTTAGAAAAATGACAGTTCAGGTTGTAAAATCTGCTGTTTTTTGTGAACTTGACCAAACTAGATTCACTTGGGAAGTAATTGAGGAATGGGCTCCACCAGTGTGGCGCATTTTCTTGCTGAGTAATTGGTGTGGAGGGCCCAGCCCACTATGCTTGTTGCTTCCCCCGGCAGGTGTCCTGGGTGGTATGAGAAAGTTGCAGAAGCTGTGGAGCAAGCCGTAGGCAGCGTCCTTCATGGTCCCTGCTGCACTTCCTGTCTGTAAGTTCCTGCTCGGGCTCCTGCCTGGACTTCCCTCAGTGATAGACTGTGAGCCCTAAGCCAAGTGAACCCTTTCCTCCCCAACTTGGTTTTAGTCAGTGTATCGTACTGCAACAGAAAGCAAGCTAGGACACACGCCCCTGAGAATAATGTGTGCCGGGCTTCTGATGTGTATTCATGCTGTTGGGGAAGCAGACTTCTAGAGAGTGTACAGAAAATTTGATTAAATGTGCAAAGCCAAAGGAAAGAAACAGGAAGTTTAACCGTGGAAACCAGATGTGGAGGACTCTGAGTCTTGGGGCTATCTGTGGATGTACCTTAAGTCCTCTGTGTCGCAGATGTTAGTATTATTTCTCTTTTTTTTTTCTAATAGGAAGTTGAAAAGGAGTTGTTCTCTCTTATTTGTTTTCTCTGTCAAGATACTAAGTAGTTACTGTTTCTCCAGACTTTGTGTGAAGTGTTAGGTTGGAAGAAATGATGATTATTCTGGGCACCTGAGCTGGTTGTAAATTGCAGGGTGGATGTGTGCACCCATGTGCTGTGGGTGGGGATGGGGGACGGTGCCTGAATGTGTGCACACGTGTGTTGTGGGGATGGGGGACGGTGCCTGAATGTGTGCACACGTGTGTTGTAGGGATGGGGACGGTGCCTGAATGTGTGCACACGTGTGTTGTGGGGATGGGGGACGGTGCCTGAATGTGTGCACACGTGTGTTGTGGGGATGGGGGACGGTGCCTGAATGTGTGCACACGTGTGTTGTGGGGATGGGGACGGTGCCTGAATGTGTGCACACGTGTGTTGTGGGGATGGGGGACGGTGCCTGAATGTGTGCACACGTGTGTTGTGGGGATGGGGACGGTGCCTGAATGTGTGCACACGTGTGTTGTGGGGATGGGGGATGGTGTCTGATTTTTAAAATGTTTAGATTATACTTCTAAGAACAGTGTATTGAGAACTTGAAGTTAAATTTATCAGCTTTTTGTATGCAAGGGGCCATGAAGAGTACAGACATGTTTAGCTTTTTTTCTTTGCAATCCAATTTGTAATTTGGTAGAAGAGAGAGTGCAATTAGAGAAAGAAAATAGACTGCTACAAGGAATATGTTAAGCTTTATAAATATTGATTGCAGGCTAGGGACTTGTGCTTGTTGAGTGGGTAAGTGTTCAGTTTTGATTTCAATTCATAAGCCATTGTAATCTTTCAGAATTATAACAAGCCTGGGACTGAGGATGTAGCTTACTTGATAGAGGCCTTTGGAGGCCATTTAGGATCTAGTCCATGCCTAGCAAGATGAAAACCTGAGTTTGTCTCTAACTCTGGATGAACTGGGCGTGGTGGCACACAAGCTGCCCACACCTGTGCTCCTGCACTTGGGAGGTAGAGGCCGAAGGCTCAGAAGTTCATGGTCATCTTCAGCTGCATAGTGAATGAGAAAGAACCTTGGGATATGTGAGACCTTACAAAAAAACAAAGCAAAACAAAGCACAACAGAAACAAAAAACAAGCCATAAATCTGGACTTACTAACCCTCCTGGGCTACTGTTTGCATTTGAGACACAAAAATATTCCAGTGGTCTGTGTCCCTACAGTTCATGATTTGGAAGGCATACTCAGTGTGTTAGCAGGCGTTCCTTTACTGTGTAAATACTTGATAAAAACCAGCTTAATAAGAAAAAGGGTTTATTTTGGCTTATAGTTTAGGAGATTTATGTCCATGATTGGGCAAACTCATTACTTTTAGGTCTGTGATGTGTATTTGTAGTGGGAAGCACATCATGGCCAGAGAATCCAGGATTCCACAGTCACTCCTGTCTCCTCGTAGTCATAGACTGGGCACCAAGCCTTAATGCATGGACCTTTGGAGGCTATTGCAAATCCAAGGTGTACATGCATATAAGGAGAGTGCTTGTTACGGTTTGTATCTCAATGTTTCCCAGAGTCTTGTTAATGCTAATGGCATTGTTAGAAAATGGCAGAACCTTTGGGAGGTAGGGACTACTAGAAGGAATTTAGGTTACTGAGGCATGCCTTTAGAGAAGATATTTGGGACCTCATCCCGATCATGTTTGTCACTTTGCTTCCTAGGGTTTCATCCAACTTCACAATAAATGTTTGTACAGAAATGATAATTCTGCAAATGGACTAGCTATTAAATACTGCTCCAGTCATCTGTTACCTTGTAAGAAATCAGCCCAAAATTTAGCTGTTTCAAGCACAAACTTTTTTTACTGTCACAGTTACTGTGGGTTAGGAACTCAGGAGTAACCTCGCTGGGTGGTTCTAGCTCAGAGTCCCTGATTAGTTTCTTGTGACTTTGGAAGTGTTGTATGTAGCCTTTGTCCAGAGGCTCAGATAGGCTGGGAAGGTCTTCTTGCAAGATGGTGTACTCTGATGACTGTTGGCCTTTCACCTTCATGGGGAGCTGCTTGAGGCTCCTCAGTTGTCACTTGGCTTCGTCCAGAGGCAGTGATGGAAGAGTGAGGAAGAGCCTACATTAAGAGAGCATGTAGGCTCCACCTACTTTGGATGGAGGAATCAAAGAATTTGTGGACAGTTATTGAAAGTGGACAGATTTTAAGCATCCAGAGGTAACCATTTCATCAGCTGCAGTTGTCTCCATTAGACACATGCAGTCATTTTTCTGACTTGTGTGTTCACAGTATGGGAGAAATTATTGAAGCATTTTAAAATGAAAGCAAGCTTCTCTCGCTGGCAGATTTGTGGATTCAGTGTCCTGTTGTATCTCTCACGTTAGCACAAACACATCCAGAATGCTTTAATTTTATACATTCTTTCTGTAGGAGAAGGAAGAGGCAAGGAAGACAGGGTCTTACTGTGTAGCCCAGGGAGGTCTCAGACATCTGTATCTGTGCTTCTGTAATTTCATTCATACTTTGAAGTTTTAATCTTTTAAGATACAGCCATACCATTTGTCCCAGTTAGTTTTGCTGTCAAATTGACATACCTCAGAAGAGCGAACCTTAACTAAAGAATTGGCTCAGGTGGTTGGCCTATGGGTATGTCTGTTGGGCTTGTTAGTGCATGAGAACCCAGCCTACTGTGGGCAGTGCCATTCCCTCCTCTCATAGCTCCCTTGATGCCTTGTTCAGAAAGTCTTTGCCCATACCTCTATGTTGAAGCGTCTTACTGATGTTCTCTTCTACCAGTTTTACTATCTCAGGTCTTCTATTGGGGTCTCTGATTTATTCTAAATGGATTTTTGTGGAGGATGAGAGACAGATCTAGTTTCATTCTCCTCTATGTGGAAACCTAGCTGGGTGTGGTGGTTTGAATGCAGTCATCCCATAGGCTCATAGATTTGCATCGTTAGTCTCCAGTGGTGAGCTGCTAGGGGAGGAGTAGGAGGTGTGGCCTTGCTGGACGAGATGTGCTGCTTGGGTGGGCTTTGAAGTTTCAAACTCCACATGAGGCCCAGTCTGTCTCTGTCTCTGTCTCTTTCTGTCTCTCTCTGGTTCTGTCTCTGTCTATGATCAGGAATGTAAAACTCTCAGCTTCAAATGATGAGATCACCGAAAATAGCTGAAATTACTGGCAGGTTGGTAGTGGTAAGCCTATGGTTTAAAAAAACAAGAAAAGAAAAGAAAAGAAAAAGCTCCCAGCTACTTGTCCAGCCTTATACCTGGCATCATGCTTCCCATCATGATGATAATGGGCTAAACCTCTGAAGCTGTAAGTAAGCTCAGATTAAATGTTTTCTTTATAAGAGTTGCTTTGGTAATGCTGTCTCTTCACAGCAATAAAAACTCTAAGACACTGGTTTTTCTCCATTGTTTGTTTTTGACAGCTTTGAAAAATTTTGGTGGCTGTATCTGTGTTGATTTATTTACATAAATGTAATAAGGAGAAGGGGAATAAAATAATAAACATGTAAAGGTGTTTTTAAAAAAGCCAGTACAGCAAAATACTACTAAATATGGAGAAAGGAAAAGGGAGAAAACTCAGGGACTAACAGAGAAATTAAGGAAAATAACAAAAAAAACCCCCTAAATTAGGTGAAAGAGAATAACAAAAGAACTTAAACCCTTTTTACCAGGTACAGTACAGTAAGCAAGTACAAAAAAGCAAATGACACAGGAAAAATGGGGGGGGGGTGGAGAAGCTGCTTTCTAAGCCTTCAGAAATTGGAGGCTGGGGCTGGAGAGATGGCTCAGAGGTTAAGAGCACTGACTGCTCTTCCAGGGGTCCTGAGTTCAATTCCCAGCAACCACATGGTGGTTCATAACCATCTGCAATGAGATCTGGTGCCCTCTTCTGGCATGCAGACATACATGGAAGCAGGATGTTGTATTCATAATAAATAAACAAATCTTTAAAAAAAATTGGAGGCTGCCAGTCACATGCATGGACAGGTGAGGTCAGCTGACTTTCTGGACTCTTGCTCATCAGCTTGTGTATGCTCAGTGTCTGCTGTTGCTGTTGTTGTTTGCATAACAGGGTCTTCTGCTGGCTACACTTAGCTTTGCATTCTGTAGGCTAAGCAACTTTCTGAGACTCCAAAGGACTGATCTGTGTGTTAGCTGAAGGATGTCTCCTAGGGTCATTGTGAGTAGGAGAGCAGCCACAGTACTGAAATCAGTAGGGGCTCAGGAATCCCTCAATGCCCCCAGGCTTCCTGGGTTAGCTATCACCTTGTTGTTGGAGGAATACTACTATGGGGATTGGGTATGACACTGGACCTTCAAAGTCCTCAGGACCACAGCAGCAAAAGAGGTGACCACAGAATTTGATCCATCTTCTGGCCTTAGGCCCAGAGTTATCAAACTAACTCCCAGTTTCTGAGATGTGTTCTGGGCCATTGTCTCCTCCTATATACTTCCTACCATAGGCAAGAGTTTCCTTTGGCTTGTCAGGGTTTAGCTCTCTGACTCTGGGAGGCTAAGGCAGGGCAAGTTGAGGCTGTGTAGGGTGAGATCTATTTTGGGTGTTCTGGGTGGCTCAGTTTCTCTCTCAAGTTAGTGCCTGGCTGCTGCCTTCTCAGGGATATTAGGGATGTCTCTTGCTGTTGACTTGTGAGTGGAGCCCTTGTCTCACCAACACCTGCAACTGGATTTGAGGCTTATGGAGGGTCGTGGGTTTGTCCCAGGGCAGAGCTGCCCACCTTTGTTGGCTTATTCGTTTGGAGAAGCCTGTGTTCTGTCTTTCTTTACAGCTTTGTTTTTGATCTTTCCCAGAGTCCTTTCAGTTTCTGTATGGATCTCTGAAGCATTTTCCTCTGTTCCTCTCTTTTGCTCACCAGCTTACACAGAGGCAGCCAGCAGGCTGCCTTTCCCAGAAGTCCTAGGTTTCTTTTCTTTTTTCAACGTTTGTTTTTGAGGCAGGATCTTAGTGTCTCAGGCCGGCCTCAGGACCATTATATAACTGAGGCTGACTGAGCTGCTCCTTCTGCCTTCACCTCCTTCCTGTTCTTAAGCGTATACATCACTTCCCCGTTCTGTTGCACCTTGGAGGTTTTCCACACCAGTACATTAATGCCTTAGGTTACCATACCATGGTTTTCTTACTACAGGCTCTTACACGTTTACTAAATAATAAGCTAATTTTTAAAAAAAACTGGTGTTTTGCCCGCATGTATGTCCATGTGAGGATGCCAGATCCTCTGGAACTGGAGTTACAGACAGTTGTGAGCTGCCATGTGAGTGTTGGGAGTTGAACCCTGGTCCTTGCAAGAACAGCCATTGCTCTTAGCTGCTGAGCCATCTCTCCAGCCCTAAATAAGCCAATTTCGATTATGAGAAAATATGTAATACTAGTCTTATTTAAAATCCTTGACTGGCTCATCAGCCCCTCGCTTTATTAGCCACCATCATTACTAGGCATCTCTCTGCCTGTATCCAAAGTACCATGATTAGAGCATTTTTCCATTTCTGTAACTCTCGGTGTTCTGGTGAAAATAATACTTGTCAGAAAGGGTGTCGCCTTTATAGGGGGTAAAAGGAGGGCAAGGTAGGTAACAGTATGTAACCGTAACTCTTGGTTCTGGAATAGAAAGTGAGAAGCAAGGCATCCTAAGAGAGGAGTCTAGGGTTGTGTTGTGTGCGACTATCCTCCGAGCCAAGCAGTCAACATCTTGGGGCGTTCATCTGTGCCTGCTTGCAAAAGAATCATCCCAGCTGGGCTTGTTGACTGAGAACATCCCCTACTGGAGGGTGGCGGGGTCATAAGATTATAGGCAGTTATCTCTCTAGACTAAGCACATTACCTTTCTCTCTTGCAAAAAGAGTATGCTGGGGCCACCTCCAGCAGCCAGGTGTGGTGGATGGAGAGGCCACAGCTGCAGCTATAGCCACAGTGCCCACCCTGACTTTCTCTGACCCAGCAAACCAGCCTAAGTAGCAGTAGGTGCAGCAGGAGAGAATGGGGCCTCATTCCTTCTTGGCCCTGGGCAGGGCTGTTCAAAGTGATCCAGTTCTCCCAAGTTCACTGGGGATGGGGAAGTGCAGGGTAGGCTCTGCCGAGGGGTATGGAAGTGGAATGGCTGTGGAGAACTACGTGCTTCCTATTCATGCTTCTGTACCAAACATGACCCGTGGAGGACGGGAATGGATGGAATCTTCTCATGCTGTGTTAGATCTTACTTGTGTTTGACTTGAGTATCTCTTTAATTGTGGGCTTTTTCTTTTATCACCCACCACGTACTGGAAACATGACAGTGGGCTTTGAAAGCTCCTCACCAAGGCTGACTCCACAGTCCTGCCAGACATTAGGTGGGGTTGCTCATTTAAGGGTGCCCCTGAAGGAGCAAGCATGGGGAGTTAGTTTACAAAGGGTACAGAGACCAGGTGTTGCTGTGATTTCTTGGGAGATTTAGTTGGGTAAGATACACATGACATTCACCAGGGTGATTGGAAAAGGTTTGCAGTAACCCACACAGAAGGTAAAAGCAGTGTTTCAGGAAGCCATATGGTGCTTGACTGGGAATCCCAGTGCTAGGAGTGGGTTACCTCCCTGGGAGGAGTTAGCCACAGAGGCCCTGGAGACCCCTAAACAGTAAAAGCCTGTTGCCACCATTGTTGGATGCATTCCAGAACTGCATAGCAGACCCTTTACTGAAGGCGCTGTATGTGCTGGTTGCAGGGCTTGAACAAACTAAGATAGGAGTGGGTGGGTGGGAAGTGTCTCCTTACTGTGAGGAAGCTCCCCTAGCGAAGTAAGCCCCACAGTGCTTCTGAGCTGTGGTCCTGCATGCCTGTGTGGAAGTGCTAGGTGTGCTTGCCTGTGCCGTGGGCTTTGAGGGGTTATGTATAGAATCAGTTTTCTGTGGACTTGAGGCCTGGTCCACAAGGGAAATTCACATCTAGTACTGGGGCTGTAGACAAGAACCTGTGACCAGAAAGTCCCTGGCTCCAGAGAAGCAGCTTCTATGACTTGGCTAACCGATGAATCTCGAGGGTTTCTCCACCTTTATGTTTACAACCGTAGGCCATTACTGTAGGCTGCATCTGTTTGAATATCTTTTCATTTACCATTTTTTTTTGTCTTTTTCCTAACATGTGTTTTGTAGTAGAAGACTTGCCCTCATGGTTTGCTAACATCCACTTTCTTTCAGGGACTCTTGTAGAAGAGGGGGTGCAAAGAAACAAGCCAGAGGAAGGGGCAGAGTGTTGGTCTTGCCTCCTGAGAGTGATCAGCTGTGCCAGCTTGTAAAAGAACCATCCCAGCCGGGTTTGTTGACTGTGTACATGTCCTCGTGGAGGGGTGGGAGGATCATGAGACCCTCGCCCTAGCCCCTCCCTACCACCTGTTATACAACTCTGCCTAATTACACGTGGTCTCCTGGAGGGGTTAAAGTGCAGTCTGGGAAGTCTAGGGCGGGGGCCTCCATCTCAGCAGTTATGGGGAAACTCTTCCTTGCTGTGCTAAGACACCGTGCCCATGGAACTTAGAGAAGAGTTTAGTGGGTTTACAGTGTCAGAGGGTGAGTCCATGATCATCATGGTGGGGAGCAGTAGCTGAGATGCCTTCAATCTGACCCACAGGCAGGAGAGAGGGGAGGGAGTGGGCACATGCAGAAACCGCAGAGCCCGATTCCCAGTGGCATACCTCTTCCAGCAAGGCCACAACTCCTAGTCCTCCCAAACAGGTTGACCAGCTCTGGGCCAAGCATTCAAATACTTGAATGTGTAGTGGGGGCACTCTCATTCAGACACCACACTGGGTAAAGTCTTTCCTGGAGCAGCGTTCAAATACTTGAATGTGTAGTGGGGGCACTCTCATTCAGACACCACACTGGGTAAAGTCTTTCCTGGAGCAGCGTTGTGGGGAAGGAGCACCCCCAGCTCTGTAAGGAACCCAGTGCACTCATGAGTTCCCCAGCGTGAACTTTGGTGGACCCTGCGGTTGTCTTGGGACGTTGGAAAGGGTGTAGACATTGTTCTCCCTCTGGGAAGGGATTCTAGCAACAAGGGGTGGGTTGGGGCAACATATGTGCTGTTTATGAATTATGACATTGTGCAGTAGCCTAATGATGGGTCATTGTTAGTTGTCAACTGTTAAGTACTTACTAGTGTGCACCAGGCACTGCTAAGTTTACTTTATGCATTGTTCTCCCTGTGGGCTAACCACA